GCAAATAAGTGTCACCCGCCTGTTCTATGTAAGACCAGGATCTAGGCACCAGCGATAAAGCAGCTAAGAAAACAGTCCAAACCCCTGCTTTGTGGAGCTGACATTCAGTAGGACAAGCAAACCCTTTAAGGATTTTCCCTGTTTGTGTGATTCATACCCAGTTTCAGATGTTTTAGGGGGTTGTGCTGGCATCAACTGGCCATGAGAGTGTGTCTATGTGTCTGGGGCTACATTTATTGGTATTGCTTTGAGTATAGGGAGTTCACTGTTCAAAGATGAGTTTATTCTCTCATAGATTGTCAAACATTGTGCCAGGCTTGGAGGATACTGCAGGCAACAAAACCCCTGCCCTCTTAGAGCTGACAATAAAGAGGAGGGATTCAGACAATAAGCAAATAAGTTGTGGAAATATGTCAGATGAGGATAAGAGCTATGAAGAAACATAGTATATAGAAGGGATTTGGGACCTAGGAAGGTCAGGTAAGATCTTGGGAAGGTGCTTTTTGAGTAAAAACCTGAAGGGGATGAAGGACAGAACTATGCAGACTTCTCGGGGGGGTGGGGAGAAGGGGAGAGAAAGGCTTTACAGGCAGATGAAACAACATTGGCAAAAATCCCCAAAGCAGAAATATGTCTGGCATATTCAAGAAATAGCCAGAGGCCCTAACTGGTTTGGCTCAGTGAATAGGACGTCGGCTGCAGACTGAAGGGTCCCGGGTTTGATTCCAGTCAAGGGTATATGTCTGGGTTGTGGGCTCAGTCCCAGTTGGGGGCATGCAAGAGGCAGCCAATCAATGATTCTCTCTCCTCATTAATGTTTTTGTATCTCTATCCCTCTCTCTTCCACTCTATCCACTGGGCCGAAACCGCTTTGGCTCAGTGGATAAAGTGTCCATCTGCGAACTCAACGGTCTCAGGTTCGATTCCGGTCAAGGGCAAGTACATTGGTCGATGTCTCTCTCTCTCATTGATGTTTCTAACTCTCTATCCCTCTACCTTCCTCTCTGTAAAAAATCAATGAAATATATATTTTTAAAAATCAATAAAATATATATATTTTTAAAAAAGATTGGATGACAGATGAGGGAAAGGGGTCATGGATGACTCTAAGCTATTCAACCTGAGCAACCAGCAAAATGGAGTTGCAATTTCCTAAGATGGTAAAGATGGCAGGGGTGTAGGTGAGGACAGTTGAGGGTATAGGTGTCCTCACTGATCAGACAGAATTGTTTTCTTCATGGAGTGTTACATTTTTCATTACAGGCTAGTTCTGTGTCTGACAGTCAGGAGGACCATCTTGACTTGGAGAACTTGAGAAGTCCAAATGGAGATGCTGGTGAAGCACTTTGATGTGTGAGATTGGAATTCGGGAGAGTCTGAGCTGAGAGAAAAATTTGGGTGCAATCAGCATAGAGACAGAACATGAGGAGAGAAGAGGACTGGGACTGAGCCCTGGGGCCCTTCAGCATTTCAAGTCAGGGAGATGAGGAAGGGTGATGCCATCATGGGGTTACATTTTCTGTTCGGGATGGTCATACCCTTCTTACGTGGCTACACACTCTATTAGACAAGTCACACTATGTCTAAGGGAACTACAATGTTCACAGAGCAGTAATACTTCATTATTGATCACAAGGGGTAGGGGGTTGTGACTATGATTTTTATTGTTCCCTCAGTTTCCAGGAGTGAAGTCTTAAAGGATTGTGACTTCTATGGGGATAGGTTCTGTCCATGCCTTAATTTGACAATAGGATGAATGTTATCTGTGTTAGGACAGTAAACTGGAACAAGGATTGCTAGCTCCATGGAAGGATAGGGGTGTCCTCACTGATCAGACAGAATTGTTTTCTTCATGGAGTGTTACATTTTTCATTACAGGCTAGTTCTGTGTCTGACATACTGGGCTTTTCACTGGTTCAGGCAGCCTTCCATAGTAAACTGGAGATGGGTCCCCTTGTTCATTGGAGTTGACATAGCCCTGGGGTTGGATGGTATGTCTTCAAGGAATGAGTAGTGATGAATAATTTTTTAAAATATATTTTTTATTGATTTTTTTTTTTTACAGAGAGAAAGAGAAAGGGATACATGCCCTTGACCAGAATCGAACCTAGGACCTTTCAGTCCGCAGGCCAACACTTTATCTACTGAGCCAAACTGGTTTCGGTGTGATGAATAATTTTAATTACTAGTTCACAATACCTGGGTATTTCACATAGTAATGGTGGGGTTCACCTTCCCTGGAGGGGATTCTTGGTGTTGAAGAGGCAATTGAACTATCCGAGAGGGTTCACATTTCTTTTTATTTTTTTTTTCCTTTTTTATAATTAATCCAACATTCTTTTTTAAAAAAAATCTTTTAAAAATATATATATTTTATTGATTTTTCACAGAGAGGAAGAGAGAGGGATAGAGTTAGAAACATTGATGAGAGAGAATCATCGATCAGCTGCCTCTTGCACACCCCCTACTGGGGATGTGCCCACAACCAAGGTACATGCCCTTGACCGGAATCGAACCCGGGACCTTTCAGTCCGCAGGCCGACGCTCTATCCACTGAGCCAAACCGGTCCCGGCAAAGGGTTCACATTTCTATGGTGAAATCACATGTAGTATCTGTGACCAGGTCTTCACAAACCACCAGAGGTTACACCGTCCAGGGGACATTTCCACCAGGGACTCTCATTCTCTGTGGGTGGTACGGACACTCCCACGAAGTATGCCTACCATCCATAATTGTGTTTCATAGAAGCAGTGGGATTGAGTTTACCCAACTGTCAGGGTGGGATTATGCCATTTACAGGCAATTTCTCACTGTCAATGCTGTGTGTTTATTGTCTACAGCTAGAGTCTGTAGGGATATGGGTGCTTACATTATCCACGGGGTACCTAGCTCACTCTGCTAATAATTGTTATCAGTATTTATGGCATACTTACTTCACATCCAAGATTTCTCACAACAACCTGGTTACAGTATGTAGGCTGTTAATATCCCCATTTTACAGATGAGGAAACTATGGCTCACAGTCACTGGCTCTCTGTCACCGACAGAAGTAGAAGAGTTAGGGTTGCAACCCAGGTCTTTGACTTGAAGGTGGGAGGGCAGGGGTCACTAAGGCTATTGTCTTTGAGACTCTGCATTATCTTCATCCAAGGGTGGAGAGCAGTAAAAGAGGGAGTAAGGCTAGGACTTAAGAGTGATGTTTCCAATTGAGTAGACCTGGATTTGAGTTCTGGCTCCAACACTTCATGACTGAAGGATTTTGGCAGACTTCCCTATCTGGGCCTCACTTTCTTAATCTGTAAATGGGTATAACGATAGTAATTCTCCTTTTTGGGCTTTTGTAAAGATGAAATGAACGAGATGATGCCCTGGATAGTGCTTGGCTTAGTGCCTGGCACATTATGAGCGCTAGGAATTTGGGAGGAGTTATAACTACGACGACGACGATGATGATGATTGCAGGACCACACTGCTCCCAGAAGGTTACAATATCCATGGGGGAGCTGCAGTGTCAGTAGTCAAGGTTACATAATTAATTCACCAGGGGGTTGATGCTTCCCTGGAGTCCTTGATCTCCCCAGGGAAGAGGCCTGAGCCTTCTACTGAGGCACTGGTGAGGGACTTCCTGCTGTAAGGCAGCTAGGAACTCAGCAACGGAGGCTGGACTCGAAGCCCTCAGAACCCAGAGCTGACCCTGCAGGCCTTCCCTCCTGGCAGCCTAGCTCTCCCTGCCCCTCTTCTGGGCTTCAGCCTCTTTGAGCACCCCTCCCCCATAATCCCATCTTCTGGCACCTCAGAGTCTTTTTTGAGACTGCTTCCAGGCTCCGCCTGTGAGCATTGCTTCTACTTGCCCTTTCCCGTTGGTGGCTCCGCTAGACATCTGATCAGCGCTGATTTCCTGTTTCCCCAAGCTGAAGACTGCTTCCATCCCTCCCAGTTTCGGAGCACAAACTTCACCACTGCCCTACACGCCGGCCTTCATCCTTAAACCCTGCCTTCCTCTCTCTTAGCGACCCCCCCAGTGCCCCGTGGGAGCACATTTGTTCGGACTTTGGTCGCCCCCTCGTATCCTGGGCTCACCATCGGAACCCTCTGTCCTGCTGGTGGAGGTGGGGGTACCTCCGGTGTTGGCCTGTCCCCTGGACAGCTGCAGCTTGGGATGGTCACTTTGGTCACTTCCTCCCCAGCTGGGATTGGGGCTATCTGGAAGGCCAAGACCCCATCCCCGGAGAAGCGAAGGGCACAGCCGCCTCCTCATTTCCGATGCTGGGAAATGCTTTCCACCCATTCCACCCCACCCCTGGACAGCTGCCCCCATTCAGACTCAGGGATGGGAGGGTAGGGGGTAAAGCTAGGCTGGGAAATGTGATCTTGATCATCTCCCAAGGTTCTGCCACCCCCTTCCCCCTGCCGCCCAGCAGAGAAAATTCTGCCTCCTCCCAAAAGGTCCACGCCTCCTCCCGACAAAAGTTGCTGCCCCTCCCTGAGAAGGTACCCCCTGCCCTCTTACAGGCTTCCCAAAAGACAATCTGGATCCTGCAGTGGGCAGGAGAGGAGGGGAGGCAGGTCCCGAGTGCCGAGGACTTAAGTTATCTGCAGACTGGAAGTCTCCGAGAAGGGTCATGACCCCTGAGACCCCATTCCACCACCCACCCCCACCTTCCTTCCTCCCCCGTTGCGCGGCCCCTTTAAGCTCAGAGCCGGCGAGTCCTCAGTGGCTGTGCGCCGGCGAGAGTGTGTGTGTGAGTGCGCCGGGAGGGGGCGGGCGCAGGGTCTCCATGGCGACGCGGCGGTGACGTCGCCGGCCCGGGGGCGTGGGCGTCCCGGCCCCGGAGTGCGATATTAACCCGGGAGGCGGCGGCGGGGAGGGGAGAGGCTCTGAGAGGCGAGGCCGGGTGAAGCGGCGAGGGCGGCCCGACCGGCGCGGGACGGGACGGGGCAGCGCGGGCCCCGGGAGCTGCGGCCCGGAGTCGGGGTGCCTTGCCCCGGGCCCCCCAGCATGAAGACCCCGGCAGACACAGGTGGGGGCGGGGGCAGCACGTGTGGGGGAGACTTGTTGCCCCGGGAAACCAGGCGGAGAAACTTTGGGGGGGCAGAGGGGTTGCGGAGGAGTCCGAGTGATCCTCAGTTCCGGGGGACCCCCAAGCACGCGAGACCTGTTGCATCTTACGGCGCGAGCCGGGGGGGGGGGTGCTGCATGGGACCCCAATTTCTGGTTCCGGCCGGAGTGGTTTGGGTGCCGCGAGTGTCGGTCTTCTCCCTGACTGGACTCCGAAAACTGGGTTCTTCCCCGCTCCCGGGATAAAGGGGATGGCGGGGTCCCACCCCGCCGTTATGTCACGTTGCACTCTGGGGCCGGGACGTGTGCGGGGCGTTGGGGGGCTGTCCCCGGGGCCCGCTATTCCCGGCCCCGTGCTGCGCGGTCCGGCCGGTGACCTTCACTGCGGTGCGTGCCCTGCATCGGCTCAGGGGGGACAGGGATGGCTTTTAGGGGGAGGGCGTGAGTGAGGATCTGGGACTCGGGGTCCGGGCTCCGCTGCCCTTCCCCCGCCCGTCTCCGCCGGCTCCTCACTCCCCCGCCCGCACGGAGTCGCAAAGTTCCAAAGCGCAGCCCGAACGTTCGAAAAAGGAACTTTTTGTTTCCGACCTTAGAACGCGCGGCTTTAAGGTGGCTCAGGGGAGACCCGGCACCTCCTTCCCGCCCCGCCGGGGCCGGAGGTTGAGCAGGGGAGGGGAGGTGGGGTGGACGCGGAGGCTGTCCCCCGGCCCCCCCTTCCGCACCCAGCTCTTCTCTTTCAACCGGCCGTCTCCTTCCTCCGCCCCCCTCTTCTCCGCCAACTTGCTCCTCCTTAAGGGGCCAGGGCTCCCCTCCCCCGCTCGGGCGGCGGGCGGGGGGCACCGGGATTAACCCCCCTCCCACTCGGACTTTCCCCCGCTCCGGCCCCCCCCCCCCCGCCGCCCCGGGCCCGGCCGCTGGACTTTGCGCCGGGGCGCGCTGGGGGAGGGGTCCCCGCCGCCCCCTGCCCGTCCACCCCGTCGGAATCCGGCCCCGGGCGGGGACGGGGGAGGGGGAAAGGGGCCGGGCGCCGCTGTTCAAACTTGTTTCCTTCCCCCGGCGGCGGCTGCGGCTCGGCTCCTGTGTGCGGGTGTGTGCCCCGACCGGCCCACCCACCCCGCCCCCCCTCCGCCCGGTGGGTGGGGGCGGCTCTTAAAGGGCTGGGAGCTGGGCTCCGGCGCTTTGGGAAGGCGCTCGGGGACTGGGACTGGGGAGGGGGGCCGCGGCCGGGGTGCGGAGTGCAGTAGGGTCAGTCACGTGCGACCCACATACTCTCCGGCTCCCGCGGGCTCCCGGGCCGCCGGGCTTTAGGGGCAGCCCGAGACTCCCCTGCCCCCGAGGAGTGGGTCCAGGCGCCCAGACAACCCCGCCTCGCTTCCCCTCCCCGCTACGGGCCTTGCCCTGGTGGGACCGGCCGGGCCGGGCCGGGCCGCTCCCCCAGCCCTGACTTGGGGCAGAGCCGCTTGTGGGTTCCCCGACTGGGGGGGGGGGGGGAGGTCGGGATGGAGGACTGGGATGGCCTGCCGGTGGCCCGTCGGCTCGTCGGTGTCTGCCTTTCAGTCGGCGGCTGGGTGCCCCTCCATCCGATCTTCCATCCCGGCCCCTCTCCCCTGCGCGGCTGTTTCCCACTTCCTGTTTTCTTCCCGGCTCTGGCGCCACCGAGGGCTGCCTGGAGTGGGGGAGGTGGTGGGGCCCCCCAGGAGGCCAGCGTGCTCTTCCTTTACCACCGCCCCTCCCTTCCGATCCCCCCCTAGTCTCTTAAAAAAAAAAGTTTGGACGGTCATGTGAACTTGGGGGTGTCCAGGAGTTTGGCTCCCCCAGGCTTCCACAGCCTGTCAGGGAGAATGTACCCCGCCTCTGTGGGACCCAGGTGTGCCGCCTGGGACCCCGCCGCCGCTGTCCTAACCCTTCCGGTCTGCTGCCATCTCCACCCTGTCTCACAGCGTCCTGCACCCCTCCAGGGTCAGCTGCTCTCTCCCTGCCCCCGATGTGCCTCCCGCTTACACTCCCAAGCTCTCATGGTGCAGGCCTGGTGGTTCCCTGGTTTCAGCACGTGGACTCAGACACAGCACACACTCACACATGCTCCCCTCGCCCGTGCCTGGCTCCTGGCTCCAAGGCTCTGAGGCCTGGGGAACAGAGCCCCATTGAAACACCCTGACGTCACCCCCTTCTCCTTCTCCCCCCAAAGCTGGGAACAGGCCCTCGTGTATGCCGCGTCCGATGAGGAAAGCCAGTGTAGGGGTGGGCCTGGTGGTAGGGTGCGTCCCTGCCAGAATGGGAGCCAGGGCCCTGGCCCCCATGGGTGGGGGGGTTGTCCAGGCAGGGGGCTCGACAACAGGGCCTGGGACAGCCCCTGGGATGCAGCTTTTGAGGCCTTTCCAGAGCCCCCCACCTCCTTTCCGAGTTCCTTTGTGTTGCATGTAGTCTCTCTCCTTCTCTTCTGCAAAGTTTATTTTTAGCCTTCTGCTCCCCCGCTCCCAGGACTGTCGCTGCACATACGTTGCCTGGTTACCGGGACAAGGAGGCTGGGGTGGGTGGGTTGGGAAGGGTGGCTTTAATTTGGGGGGTAGGGTGGAAGTCAGCACACCCCTCCAAACCCAGACTGTCTCAGGGGCTTTACCCCCACCCCCTCCTCCTGGCTCTGAGTGCCAGATTGGAGTTTAGGTGGGAGCTACGTGGAGCTCGGTGTCCTTGCGGGGCCGGGAGCTTTTTGGAGGGGATGGGGTGTTTACGGAGCTCTGGTTTGCTCACTTGGGTTCCCTCACAAGGGTTTGTGGGGCCTGGGTTCTCCAGCAGGACAGGACTAATGGGGTGAACACTTGGATTCCTGAGAGAAGGATAGGGCTGTGGATGCTGGGGTCCCTGGAAGGCGTTGTCAGGGGCTGTCACTCCTGAATTAAGCAGTGGCTGCTGATGTCTGCTGTATCCCTGGCTCGAGGCTGGGATTTCTGAATGGGGCAGGGACTCAGGAGAATGCTGGCCAGGGATGGGAACCTCTGTTGGGGGGAGAGTCTGCTCTGGATTTGGAGGGGGCGGTCCCTGTGGGAGCAGGAACTGCTGGTCCCCTGGGTCCCCAAGAGGAAGAATCCCCTTCTGGATTCCAGACTGGGGTGGAGTCTCAGCGTTGCCCCAGGCTTGGTTGGTACCTGCTTGAGCTTGGGGCTTGAACCAGGGCCAGCCCAGAGAGAGGCTGACCCACACTGCCTGCCTGGGATTTGGGACCCCGCCTATTTGTAGCTGTCTATCCTTGCCTTCTCCCTCTAGTGGCATCAGGGCCCCTGCCCTGCCTCCTCCCCTCCTTCCCTCCTCCCACCCCTCCATTACCGGCTGCCTGGTGCTGAATTATTGATGGTCCCTGATTACCCGGGGGTTTGGGAAATGACAACAACCGCAGCCCCCCCACCTCCTCCCCCCCCAGGCTGCCCACCCCCTCTAGGGACCAGCCAGCCCACCACCAACCTCTATCCAAGGTTAATGCTGGGGGCGGGCAGGCAGGTGGGCAGGGAAATAGCTGAGGATGAGAAGGCAGAAGGGGAAAGAGGCTCCAGCCTAGTCAATCTGAGGCCGGGGCTGGGGCCCTTCAGCCGGGTTGGGCCCATGTGCCTGGGTCTGGGGCGGGCAGTGCAGCACAGAGGGTCCGGGCTTGGGGGGCCTCTCTCAGACAGTCTGGGTTTCACTCTCCAGGGAAGACAGAAGCCTCTGTGTGTGCAAGCGCTGACCTCATCGTCAACCAGCCACCCCACCCCTCCTGGTCCTTTTAAGAAAAAAAAAAAAAAAAAAAAAAAAGCCTCTCGGGTCTTGGGGTGGGAGTAAGGGCTCTGGCAGGTCTTGGGAGGGGGACAGGGTATGTTCTAGGAGGGGACCAGCGGAGCTTGCAGGGGTGGGGTTCAGTATGACTGGCTCTGAATGGGAATGGGGGTCCTGGGGGGCCTCGCCCCAACCATCTGGCCACATGTACCCCTTCCTGCCCTTCCCCCACTGGCAGCCCTGCCCGCCGGCCTGGCTTGGTGCCTGGCCCCCTGGCACTGGCCCCGGGACCCGCCGCCACCCGCCGCCGCCGGTTTCCTGTTTCTCCCGGTGTTGCTGGAGCAGGCTCCAGCTCCCCCCCTCCCCATCTAGCCCCCTCACACAGACAGACGCACACTGTCTCTCTGGCCTGCCCAGGTCTTGTCTCCCCTTAGGGGAGATGGATTTCCCCATGTTGAGGGTGGGGTAGGAGGTAGCCCCTGGGCGGGGGTGGGGGGGGGCAGAGGCCTGGACTTGGCACTCTAACCTGGAGCCACTTCCCTGCCTGCTGTCCCCAGGGTTTGCCTTCCCGGACTGGGCCTACAAGCCCGAGTCGTCGCCCGGCTCGAGGCAGATCCAGCTGTGGCACTTCATCCTGGAGCTGCTGCGGAAGGAGGAGTACCAGGGCGTCATCGCCTGGCAGGGGGACTACGGGGAGTTCGTCATCAAGGACCCCGACGAAGTGGCCCGGCTCTGGGGTGTCCGCAAGTGCAAGCCCCAGATGAACTACGACAAGCTGAGCCGGGCCCTGCGGTGAGGAGGGCACGGCCCCTGGGCAGACGGGACAGTCCCCCACCAACGGGAACCCTGACCTCTGGGAATAAACACTGGGTTTGACTCCTGGTTCTTGCAAGTCATAGCCATCGACCTTAGGCAAGTCCTAACCCTTCTCTGAACCCATTTGCCAAAAGGAGGTGTCCTGAGGGGAGAATGGCCATGGGTGTGGCCCGAGGGGAGAGCTGGGCCTTACCCTTGGGGACTCAATGTCTCTCTTGTGGCCTGGGTGTCTCGATCGCCCTCTGTGAGCAGCACCTAAGGCGTGTCATGGTATGGGGGTCCGGATTTGGGTCCCCTGTGACTAAACCGATGGTGTCTTTGCATCCACAGCTATTATTATAACAAACGCATTCTGCACAAAACTAAGGGGAAACGGTTCACCTACAAATTCAACTTCAACAAACTGGTGCTTGTTAACTACCCTTTCATTGATGTGGGGCTGGCTGGTGAGTACCGGGGCTGGCGGAAACGGCCTCTGAGGGAAGAGGGTCAGTCTGTGTGTCCGGGCTAGGCTGGTGGCCTTCATACCATGTCTTCTTTCCTGCTAGGGGGTGCGGTGCCCCAGAGCGCCCCTCCAGTGCCATCGGGCGGCAGCCACTTCCGATTCCCTCCTTCAACACCCTCCGAGGTGCTGTCCCCCACCGAGGATCCCCGCTCGCCACCAGCCTGCTCTTCGTCCTCATCCTCCCTCTTCTCGGCTGTGGTGGCCCGACGCCTGGGCCGCGGCTCGGTCAGTGACTGTAGCGATGGCACTTCAGAGCTGGAGGAGCCCCTGGGAGAGGACCCTCGGGCCCGACCACCAGGCCCTCCGGAGCTGGGTGCCTTCCGCGGGCCTCCGCTGGCCCGCCTGCCCCACGACCCTGGCGTCTTCCGTGTTTACCCCCGGCCCCGGGGTGGCCCTGAGCCCCTGAGCCCCTTCCCTGTGTCCCCTCTGGCTGGGCCCGGCTCCCTGTTACCGCCTCAGCTCTCACCAGCTCTGCCCATGACGCCCACCCACCTAGCCTACACGCCCTCGCCCACGCTGAGCCCCATGTATCCCAGTGGTGGCGGGGGCCCCAGTGGCTCAGGGGGAGGCTCCCACTTCTCCTTCAGCCCCGAGGACATGAAACGGTACCTGCAGGCCCACACCCAAAGCGTCTACAACTACCACCTCAGCCCCCGCGCCTTCCTGCACTACCCTGGGCTGGTGGTGCCCCAGCCCCAGCGCCCTGACAAGTGCCCGCTGCCACCCATGGCACCCGAGACCCCACCGGTCCCCTCGTCAGCCTCGTCGTCCTCCCCATTCAAGTTTAAGCTCCAGCCACCCCCACTGGGACGCCGGCAGCGGGCAGCTGGCGAGAAGGCTCCAGTGGGCGCCGACAAGAGCGGCGGCGTTGGCAGTGGTGGCGGCACCGGTGGGCTGGCTGAGGGGGTGGGGGCGCTGGCCCCACCACCACCGCCGCCACCGCCGCCGCAGATCAAGGTGGAACCTATTTCGGAAGGGGAGTCAGAGGAGGTGGAGGTGACGGACATAAGTGACGAGGATGAGGAAGATGGAGAGGTGTTCAAGACGCCTCGTGCGCCCCCTGTGCCCCCCAAGCCTGAGCCGGGCGAGGCACTGGGGGCCACGCAGTGCATGCCCCTCAAGCTGCGCTTTAAACGCCGCTGGAGTGAAGACTGTCGCCTGGAGGGGGGCGGGGGCTCCGCCGGGGGCCTCGAGGATGAGGGTGAGGACAAGAAGGTGCGAGGGGAGGCTGGGGGTCCCCTTACCCCGAGGCGGGTGAGCTCTGACCTCCAGCACGCCACAGCCCAGCTCTCCCTGGAGCATCGAGATTCCTGAGGGCCATGGGCAGGGGAATGCCCCCACCCCCAATGCTTCTTTTGCTGCCTTAACTCCCCTGTGTCCTGGAGGTGAGGGCAGCCCTAATTTCTTCCCTGCCTCCTCCCTTTCCTCCCCATGTTTTGTATAAAGTTAATTTTTTTTTTTTTTAATTGTGAGGGTGGGTGGGTGTCCAGGGCTGGGGGCTGTCCAGTCTCGATTTCTAAGCTCTGGGCAAAGTGGTGGTGAGGGATGGGGCGGGGGGAGGGAGTGAAGCGGGCCACCTCCATTCTGGGGAATTTATATTTGAACGGAGGCCCTGGCCTCGATGCCCAGGAACTTTTTTATTACAATCGCTTAGGAAGTAAAGCCTTGTCTCCCTCCCCGTTCTGTGCCTCCTATACCTCTCTGTCCACCTCCAGCCATCCTTAGCCCCAGTTCAGCCTTCCCTGCCCCTCCAGGGGCACGAGTGCCTGGTTCCTAACCCCACAGGTTACAGCGGGAGAGTTGGACGTTTTATGATGAACCAAAAATTGTGTGTGAGGGGGTAGGAGGGAGAGGAGGGGGAGGGGTGGTCACAAATTTCTACAAGTGCCTCTTCTACTCCTCACTCCAGCACTGGTCCAACCCCTTCACCCCCAGCTGCTCCTAGGACCAGCCCATAGGCAGGTGGGTGGGGGGTGGGAAAGGTGAACCCTGAAACCAAACTGGAAGCCCCCTCTGCCTCCCAGCTGGGGCCCCTTGGGGTGAGGGTCTGTGGTCAAGCCTTATTCTGTATTGGGGGTGGAGGGTGGGAGGGGAGGGAAGTGGAGGGCTGTTGGAGAATGTATTCAAGACAATAAAACTTTGGGCCTTTGGATGGAGTGATCTGTCTCACTGCAGGGCCATAGTCTGTGTTATATTCTGAAGGATGGGGGCCTTGACTGGCTCCCAGTGGATCAGTGGCCAGAGTAGTGTGCTGTGCCTGATCTCTCTGAATGGCCTGGGAAATGATCTCCTGACCTTGAGGGGCACATAACCCCCAATGTCTGATGATTAAGGTCTTGGGCCTACTCTGTCATCTGATTGCTCCCCTGTTCCACGGGACCACTTGTCCTTGAAGCATTTAGACACCTCACCTATAGCTTGAAATGCCTTTCCTGTCTGGGTGTGAATCACTATCCATGTCCCTGGGCCCTGGACTGCCCTTTGCACTATACTCTAGCGTCCTCCCACCTATCCCTTTCCTTGGGGCATTTCTGGGTTATTCTGGGATCCTTTGGGGACAGGCCTACAGTCTCAAAATGTAGATCTTGCAAAGGATCTTCCCATGGAACCATGGGACACCCTCTGCCAATGAGGTGAGACGGGACTGAAGCAGAGTTGCTACTGATTGACCTGTACCAAGTATCTGGTACTTAGGAGCTGCAATGCTTTATCTCCAACATCCTGCAAGGTAGGGGGAAGTGATTTAATGACTTGCTTAAGACCCATAAGCTCACAACCTAGCCAGTTTGGCTCAGTGGATACAGTGGTTTAGTTCCAGCCAGGGGCACATGCCCAGCTTGTGGGCTCAATCCCCACCATCCTCTCTGGGGGGAAAAACAAAAACCCCTAAGCCCAGCCACGACTTTCAGTGAGGTCTATCTCAGAAGTGTTCTTTCTCCTCCTGAGTTTTTCTCTTAAAGTTCCAGACCAAGGTCTCAAGATCATAGGATCTCAGAGGTGAGCTCAAGCTAGAAGCCTAGCTTGGAGAGCTCTCCTCAAGGATGCAAGGATCAGGAGGAGGCACCCAGTTTGCAAGTGCTCTCTGAGAGCCCAACTCCTTAAGTGCTGGTGAGGTGCCTGAGACCCAGTTTTCCCAAAGCCTCACAGCTGCTAAGAGAGAATGAGAATGGAGGGCTCCGGGCCTGTTGGAATGGCTTCACTGGAACCCCACCCTGTGCAACTCCTCCCTACTTTCTCTTCATCCTCTTTTCATGCCAGCCTGGAGTGGGTAGTCCCAGATGATGTCCGGAGGTTGGCAATGAAGAGAGGATTCAGGGATGGGGTATTGGCAGGAAACCGAGGCTCCAGTGGCAGCCTGTGGGCAACTGCTCCCTCTCCTGGGTGATGTAAGTCATTCCCATGGGTGGGGGACACATGGTTATTTCTGGATGTTGGGATGAGGCATGTTTCCTGGTAACATAGATGCAAGGGTGGTGGTGTGAGGGAGAAAGGGGGATGGCATCATTTGGGGGAGGTGGGAGGACCATGCCTAAAGTCTTAGCTCCTGATTCCAGTGCCTTCAAAGCATCTCTAACAATTCTAACATGGATTCATAAGCTCTCAGTTCCAGAACTGCTCTCTAGGTCAGACCAGACCCAAACAGACTCGTTGCCCCCAGTTTGGGCTGACCACGATGTGATGTGACAGGTGGCTTCTGGTCTTGAAAACTCCAGTGGACCCTCTAATCTTTGGTGATCCACCTATATCTATTTAGTTTCTGCAAGACTACACTCTTGCTCCCTTCCACATCCTCCAGGATTTCTGGTTCCAAATAGAAAGCCCTTTATAGGTTTCATGATACTTCATCAATTAACTCATCCCATCAGAGATTCCCTTCATACCTGTAACCCCCACAAAACCCTCGAAGGTCCTTTCTGATGCTTCTCATCCACTCCTTATCCTTTCAAGTCCCCCCGTTAGCAGTAGTTTTTCAGTCTCCCACAGTCAGTTTAAGAACACCCCAAGTTCCCTCTGACTTCACTGATCCCCAATAAGATCCCTTCACTTGTCCTCGCACTCCCCTGAGTACCTCCAGAAACCCACAGGCCCCACAGACACAACCCGCCCTAGCACCGCTCCACAAACGTTCTCAGTCACACAAACACCCTGGTTAAGATTCCCTGACTCTCATGTATCCCAATGCCCTCGTGGCGGTTGCCTATGCGCTGCCCACTGCGCATGTCCCACGGGTTCTGGCCGTTAAGTAACCGACACTATCCCGCCCCACTCGGCAGCCCCCCTGAGCCTTCGTGGTCCAGTGTGGGATTATTTCCCAGGCTTTGGGGCTTGACTCAGATTTTTGCTTTTCGACTCAGAGCTGCCGTCAGAGGGCAGCAGGCATTGTTTGGCTGAGAAACTACAACTCCCAGAAACACCTGCTCTGGGTTGTGCGTGGTTCTGCCGTTTTCCTTGAGAAGGGAGCGAAAGCGGGTCCGCGCTTTGCCTTTTGGTTAATGTAGTCTGAGAAGGCTTGAATGCTACCGGTCCGTCCCGGGGCTCTGCACCCACTGGGAATTGCAATCAGGAACAGAGACTTTATTCAGACTTCAGAAAGGGCAGGGCACTTAGTATGAACACAGGCTCGGATTAAAGTGACATAGAAATTGCATTTCCCATTATTCCACGAGGCAGGAGGGGCTTGAGGGTGATTTCATTCTAGTTACAAGTATTTCCGGGACGCACGCACTCGCAAGAACCGTTTCCCAGCTCTCTTTGGTGCTATTGTCCTTCCGGGTATTAATCGATAAATGGGGAGACATAATGCATGCACAAAACCCAAGGCTACTGCTAGCAGCGGCTTCCTTAAAGCCGGAGGACATAAAAAGCTGAATGGGGGTTTAAGGCAAATTGTATTTTCTTTTCTAACGCTCGGTCTCCTAGTGTAACTCACAATGCTAGAAAAAACTAGATTGTATCCAAAGACTATTGTTTTGAGAAAAACCCGGGCAACTTGGTTTCTCAAATCGTTTGCAGGGAAGTTTTCCTTCCAGATTTGTGAAAACTAGCAACTTGATCTCCATGTTCTAGCAACCCTAGTTGATCGGGCTCTTTCTTGGGACCTGGAGAGGAAGGAGACGTTGAAACACTTCAGTTTCCACAGGGAACTGCCGTCTTTCCCCTTTCGCTCACGCTCTTCCGAAGATTTCCTTTGGACTCTACTTTCTGGCCAGCGTAGTCCGTCTTGCCTGACAGGGTCAGGATACAGAGTGCCCTCTTCCCCAGCATGCTTCGGGCTCATGGTAGATCCCTCCCCTCGGTCACTAGGAAGGCTGCCTTGAACTCCATTTCCCAGAAGACATAAGGGCTCGCTGTAGCAACTGCTCCGAAGCCTTGGTTTTGACTACATATCCCGGCAGGGACTGCGGTCTAGCTTACAAGGGAGGAGGAGCGCTGAATCTACTCCATTTCCTAGCCTTTCTCCGGAACTGCAGTATCCTCTCGCGGGTTTAGGGAATCACATAGGACTCCATTTCCCAGCGTGCTTTGGGAATCTCTTTATACCTGCAATGCAGTGAGGGCGTGGCGAAGACTTCATTTCCCAGCTTGCCTGACGGTCCGATATTTATGAGTCCTCCTGCGCGGACTCAATTTCCCAGAGTGCACCTGGTCCCGGTGGGCATATACAGCCAATAGACTCAGGGGATGATTAGACTGTTTCCCGGTGTGCGTCAGGTCACTGACAAGAGTGGCTGTGACTACATTTCTGAGACACACTGAGGGGCTCACCGTTGCCTCAGTGGAGTGAGTGTGCGACTCTGACTCAGTTTCCCCGAGTACTTGAGGGTCCGCCGTGGACAAAGTCGACTTATTGTCAACAACTCTATTTCCTGACGTGTAGCGCGACTCATCTTCCCCGCAGTCTACCCTGAGGCCTTCGCGGACTCCATTTCCCGACGTGCCACACGGCTTTCTCCAGGCCGAGGGCGGTGACGGCGGCGCAGAGGGGAGGAGGACTGCATATCCCAGCGTGCCCCGCGGCGGGCGCTGGGCCGGAGCCGGAGCCCGAGCGGCGCGGCCTGGAAGAGGCCGGAGGCCGGGAGAGGCGGCGGCAGCCCGGGCAGCCCGAGCCCCGCAGCTTGGGCCTGCGCTCGGCGCCATGAGCGGCGGCGCGCCTTCGGGGGGCGGCCCTGGGGGCTCGGGCCGGGCGCGGACAAGCTCGTTCGCGGAGCCTGGTGGCGGAGGCGGCGGCGGTGGCGGTGGCCCTGGGGGCTCGGCCTCCGGCCCGGGCGGCAGCAGCGGCGGGAAAGTGTCAGTCGGAGCCATGGGTGGGGGCGTGGGGGCCTCGAGTTCCGGGGGTGGCCCCAGCGGCAGCGGCGGAGGAGGCAGCGGCGTCCCCAGTGCGGGCACCAGCTTCCCGCCGCCCGGAGTGAAGCTGGGCCGTGAGTACTCGCGGCGTCCGTGGTGGGTGGAGATCAGGGTTCCTGAAGCCCCTCAATCATCGATCAGGTTCTTCCATCTTCCCAGATAGAGCGCGAGGTCACTGCCACCTAAACCTGGGATCTGAGCTCTCCCCCTCCAAGAGAAAGATTTAGGGGGTTACCATCACTTGGAGTTGAGATTAGAGTTAGTAACCCTCTAAGAAACTGGGGTCACAGGTTCCTCTTCTTCCAGTTCCGAGGTCTTGGGTTCTTGAGGCTTAAAAGCAGGGATCTGACGTTGCCACCCATTAGAGAACAGGATCAGGGGTCATCGTCCCTTACGAATGGGACTCAGGGGTTATTGTTCCCAAAGAATAAGAGGAGGGGGGTCTGAATTTGCTTCCCTTTAGAAGATGGGAATTTGGAGTGCATATTACTTACAAGCAAGTAACTGTTTCCAAAGATCGGGGCTACAGCTTTCCAAACCTGGTACCCAGGTCATCTTTCCCTTTAAAGCACAAGGCCTGGTATCACTACCTGTCCATAGTATGTACATAGAACTTAAGTCCCAATGGTGAAAATTAATAGTTGCTACCTCTTAGAAATAAGGAGAGATTGGGAGCGAGCATACTCTTCAGACCTAGTCATAATTACTGTTTTTCAAAAAACATGGCTTGGTGGGCCTCCTTTCACAACAGAATGGAGGGGGTCATAGTTCCCCATAGATATGGATTTGGGTTATACCCCTTTTATTATTATGAGGTGTGTTATTGGTTCTGGAAAAATAGCTATGTAGGATCACCTCTTCCAAAAGAAGGTGTCAACTGGTCCCTCAACATGGATTTGACTTATCAGTGACCCCTTTTCTTTCGGGAACCTTTCATCAGTTCCTGAAGAAAAAGGGGTCACTGTCCCCAAAGAATGCCACCACAATTTGCTGCCATTCAGAGCCTGGACCTGGGAATTAGCTTTCCTATGAAGCACTGAGGTGGGCTAGCCCTCTGATCACAGAGATCAGGTTCACTAGCCTCAATTTAGTGCTTACCTATTAAGGACCACCCACATACAGGAAGGGGTCCAGGACTCTAGATCACACAGATGAAGTCAGGTCAGTGCCTTCTCTAACCTCGAAGTATTTGGGTAAGGGCAAATTGCCCCCCAAAAGTGAGTCAGGGCACAAGTAATCATGCCAGGAAGAGTCATTTATTTCTGTCACCAAAAACCAGTGGTGAAGTTTCCAGCTCCACCAGGGAGGACATAGAGGTCACCCTCCCCTGAGCTGTGAGGGAGGTTAGTGCTTTCCTAAAGTAGAAGTACCTCGGGGTTACTGCTTTCTTAAGTGGATGAGTTTAGGCCAGGCCTTCCTAAAGGGACCAGCGGGCAGTGAGCTTGGATGGACTCAGTATCTAGAAGTGTCGGTGTCTGGAGACCAAGAAGACCCAATGGTTTGCTGCTTAACTAGATAGAAGTGGAAATTAGGGGTCAGCAAGAGTTTTGTTTTATTTTTTAAATCAATCTTTATTGTTCATGTTATTACAAAGGTTCCTCATTTCTTCCCCCTTCCACCAGGTTCCCACCCCACCTTCCACCCCCTCCCCACCCCCCATTGTCCTCATCCATAGGTGCACAGTTTATGTTCAGGAATTTTAGATGTATCTTCCATCATGGGAGGAGGGACAAGGAAAAAGGGACAGAGAGGCCCATGAGAGCTTCCTGTGGAGACTATCCTCCCCTCCACTGCTCCAGGAGAGGGAGGGGGCCAGAGGGGAAAGGTCAGTGGATTTTGTGTCTCCTTTGTTCCCCAGGTGACAGCGGGAAGGTGACCACAGTGGTAGCCACTATCGGCCAAGGCCCGGAGCGCTCCCAGGAGGTGGCTTACACAGACATCAAAGTGATTGGCAATGGCTCATTTGGAGTCGTGTACCAGGCACGGCTGGCAGAGACCAGGGAACTGGTAGCCATCAAGAAGGTTCTCCAGGACAAGAGGTTCAAGGTAGCTTGGTGGGAATGGGGACAAGGAGGTTTAACTGGGCATGACTGGTGAGAGCTCCAGCAAGAGCATTGGCCTTGGCTTCCCATGGGGATCTGAGCACAGGCCAGAGGAGAAGGGAGAGAGAAGGGAGTGAGTTGTGTGGAAGATGGCAATAGAGGTTCCAGGAAAGCCCAGAGCTGACAGTTTATTGGGCTTTTGCTGTTTGTAAATGCTTTTGCAAGCAAGTTCTTGTTTAATAAAGATTGCGTGGAGGTGTAAGTATTGCTATTCCAATTTTAAGTAAGCAGAAACTAGAAACAGACTCAGATAAGAGAATTGCCAGAAGACTAGACTAGATTCAGATTCCCAAACTCTCCATCTTAACTTAATCACCAAGTGAAGCTTCTGCTCAGAGCAGAAAGGAAGCAAAGGTCTTGTCTCACTCTGCCCTAGGTACTTGGCAAGTGCAGGGTAGAATTCAGCCTGCCAGTGTTCACCAAACCACATGCCTTGGTGTGGGGCTCTGCCCTCCTGAAGAAGGGGTGTCCATTCAGACAGTGCTGCCTTGTGAGCGAATGGGTACCAGGAAATGAGAAGGAGATGGAGGAATGAAGTTGAGGGATACTTGGTGTTGGAAGGATGGCATTTTGGAGGCTAGGCTGATCTGGAAATAGCCTACACTGGGAGGGAAACAGGTCAGGCCCTGGGTCCTAGCAGTGAGTAGTCTCAGGGGCAGGAGGAACTCCAGGGTATTGTTCAGAATGTGATCAGTGTTGAGTCCCAGAACTGAGAAGGATCTGAGGGTGGGGAGTTTTGAGGCCCCAGAGGGAAACAGAATAGGGAAGAATGCTGAGACCAGGCCTTCTGGGAAGAGGCTGAGACGGGGTCCTTTTTGGGAAGATGAGAATTGGGAGCTGGAGTCTGGGACACAGGATACAAGCCAGGGTTCAAGGGCCAAGATACATCCAGGGGAACAAGGGGAGAAGTGGGGACCAGGGTGACTGGATGGCTGCTACTTTTCTGTTGTTGCTTGTGCCATGCAGGGAGGTGGACCTCATGCGGCCATATCATCTGATTTTTTCAAGAGAAGCTGAAAAGCTGGATTTTGATTTTAAATCAAACATTTTAAAAATATATATATATATTTTATTGATTTTTCACAGAGAGGGAGAGAGAGGGATAGAGAGTTAGAAACATCAATGAGAGAATCATCGATCAGCTGCCTCCTGCACACCCCCTACTGGGGATGTACCCGCAACCAAGGTACATGCCCTTGACCGGAATCGAACCTGGGACCTTTCAGACCGCAGGTCGACGCTCTATCCACTGAGCCAAACTGGTTTTGGCCTAAATCAAACATTTAAAAGAGCAATAAGTTGAACATTTTTAAAAAAAAAAAGTGGGCTGAAGAAAGCACATCTGTGATCTGGGTTTAGCCCAGACACCTCCAGCTTGTGTGAGGGGGATGGATTGCAGATAAGGAGTTAGGGGCTGCCCCAGGGGGTCCTGGGACAAAGGGAGTAGTAACCGCCTATCTCTGTTGGTGGGAATGGGGGAGTAGGGCTGTGGTGAAGGGTGCTAGGGAGGGGAGGAAAGACAGCGGGTGGTTTTCTGAGGCTTTCTCCCTTTGCCTCTAAGAACCGAGAGCTGCAGATTATGCGGAAGCTGGACCACTGCAATATCGTGAGGCTGAGATACTTTTTCTATTCCAGTGGGGAGAAGGTGAGACCTTAGGGGTAGGGGAATCCTTCACCTTCACTCCACCTATTTTCCTGCCTGCCTTCCTCATGACTGCTAGTCCTTCCCCCATTTTCCCTAAACCTTCCACCCCCTCTTCCTTGCAAGCTCTTTCCTCACAGTGCCTCACACCTTTCCTTTGCTCTCTGCAGAAAGATGAGCTTTACCTAAATCTGGTGCTGGAGTACGTGCCTGAGACAGTGTACCGGGTGGCCCGCCATTTCACCAAGGCCAAGTTGACCATCCCTATCATCTATGTCAAGGTGGGCAGGCAGGCAGGCTTCTGGGGCCCAGGTCCAGGAAGCTAGTGGCTCCAAATCCTCCTACCTTCCGTGGGTTCCCTCATTCTTCAAGCTTATGTTGGTCCTTGGAGGTTTCGTGTTCCCTGCCCCCAGAGATGGAGCTCGCTAAATACAGGGTAGCCGAACCTGAGACCTGACTAAATCAGGGAGGCAGGCTGACGGGCTGGGGAGGCTGCATGGTACCTGCTTGGGTCTACCCTGAGAGCCCAGTGACAACGGTGGTATTGGAGGCAGCTCAGAATCAGGTGGTGGTGACAGCAAATACAGAGGGGGCTCACTGGAGTCTGGCAGAGGAGTGGGAGGTCGCAGGTTGGAGGAAGGTTAGTGTCCACAGAGCCAAGAGAGCAGGCACCCCCATCCATTGTCTTGAATTCTTTCCCCAGTGCCTGGTGCTGAGACCTGGGTGTTCCTGTCCCTTAGTAGGAGTTTGAATGAGTGAGTGGGCCTAGTGATGATGTGGAGAACAAAGGCTAGGCAATGCTGCACTGGGAGGAGGTGGCTGGGTCCAAGTTTACTTGAGGTTGCTTGAGGGCCCCGTTGCTCCCCCTGGTGAGATCTTGCAAGCTCTTTCTTAAGGGCTCTGCTGGTGGTTGGTGCTGTGGGACTTCACCTCCCAGGCAGTGTGGTGACTGTCCTGTGGCTGCCTGTGTGTCAGGCCCAGCAGTGAACAATTTCAGAGGCTCAGTGGACTAAGACCCAGGCCTTGCCTTTGAAGCCTCTCAGAGTAGCAGGGTAGACAAGTGAAAACCATAAAACTACTAGCAGCTGCCTCCCTAGAAGGGGTACAGGGGATTCTGGAAACAAAGAAGGCCCCCAGCCTTGCCTGCTTGGGGCAGGAAGGATCAAAGAAGGCTTCTGGGAGGAGAGCAGGTGCAGGGGGAGAAAGTAGGATCTCTGGCCAAGGGCAGCACGGACAGGAGAAGAAGGCCCAGGAAGCAGGCCCAAGCAGTTATTACTTGCCAAGCCCTGTGAGGCAGTCATGAAAACAAAGATCACTGCTCACTTAGGTGCTAGTCAATGGGACAATGGAAAGAAAACCCCCTGGAGGGGGCTGCTAGTGGGTGGTTTGACTGATGGATAAGGGGAACTGAGTGCCTGCTCCCAGCCTCTCAGACAAGGCCTTCCTGATGTCTGTGTTATTCATCAGCTTCTGCTGAGGGATGGGATCGAAACGGGAGTTCTCAGTGTGGACCAGAACCAGCACTGGGAGCTGCTGCGAAAGCCCTCTCCTGAACTTACTGAGTCAGAAACTCTGAGTGGGGTCCAGAAGTCCCTGTTTTAACAAGGCCTCCCAGTGATTCTGATGCACACTAAGATTTGAGTACCAAGGGGCCACAGAAGGATTTTCAAGTTGGAGACTGGGCCTGGAATGGCTCTTCTGGCCAGGAGGGTGGAGCAGTGGCATGCTCTGGGGGAGCTGGGCTGGAATTCTGTCCCCTGCCTGTCCCAGGTATACATGTACCAGCTCTTCCGGAGCTTGGCCTACATCCACTCCCAGGGCGTGTGTCACCGTGACATCAAACCCCAAAATCTGCTGGTGGACCCTGACACTGCTGTCCTCAAGCTCTGTGATTTTGGCAGGTAGGCCTGACCTGGGGTGTGTTAAGTAGCCCAAAGGGTGAGGAAGAACCCCAACCTTTGCCTATGTTTACTCTTGCTCACCTCTTCCCACAGTGCAAAGCAGCTGGTCCGCGGGGAGCCCAATGTCTCCTACATCTGTTCTCGCTACTATCGTGCTCCAGAGCTGATCTTTGGAGCCACTGATTACACCTCATCTATCGGTCAGACTTACGGGAGGCTGGGGGTGGGGATGGCACTCATGGCAGTTTTTGAGTTTTGTGTATGTGTGCCAGGTTTGGCGATAAAATCTTTTTTTTTTTTTTAATATATTTTATTGATTTTGTACAGAGAGGAAGGGAGAGAGATAGAGAGCTGGAAACATCGATGAGAGAGAGTCATCGATCAGCTGCCTCTTGCACACCCTCTACTGGGGATGTGCCCACAACCAAGGTACATGCCCTTGACCGGAATCGAACCTGGGACCCTTCAGTCCCAAGCCGACGCTCTATCCATTGAGCCAAACTGGTTTCGGCATGGCGATAAAATCTTAATATCCTTTTATGCAGTCCTCACAAATTTAGGAGGGTGATGCTGTCATATGCTCCTTTACAGATGAGCAGTCTCAGGCTTAGAGCGGTGAGGCCACCTGCCCGCTGTCACACTGCTGGGACTGGGCAGGGTTGGGCTTTGAAAGCTGACCCAACTCCAGAGTCCATACTGATGCTGGAACCTCCCAGTTAGCCCTCTCTTCTCATCCAGGGGAGGGGCTGCTGGTGACCTCGGGGGAATCTGAGGAGGGCCATGAGGGTGTGACCTCACAGGCCTCTGTATTCTTCCCAATTGGTGGGGATGACATTGCCACCTTCCAGGCATAAGGAGAGACCATGAGGGTTTGGGAGAGAACGTTCATCAGCTGGTGTGAGAAAACTGCCTGGTCCTCAGGTGTGAATTATGTCATAGGGCTCAAGGTACAGACCAGGAAGAAGAGTACAATGCAGTCAGGCAGACCTGGAGGTCAAAGTCAGACTCCAGGGTTCCTAAACTGGATGATCTTGAGCAAGGCACTTCCTCTCTGATCATAAGGGGTGGAAGTGTTGGTGAGCAGTGGGCATGGTAGCCCTGACCTCTTCCATTCCCCCTTCAGATGTGTGGTCAGCTGGCTGCGTACTGGCCGAGCTCCTGCTGGGCCAGCCCATCTTCCCTGGGGACAGTGGGGTAGACCAGCTGGTGGAGATCATCAAGGTGAGGAGAGAGTCAGGTGGGCAGAGGTAGGGCTAAGTGATTGGGGTCTTGGCTTAGACTCCTCCCCTCCTTTTCCTACAGGTGCTGGGAACACCAACCCGGGAACAGATCCGAGAGATGAACCCCAACTACACGGAGTTCAAGTTCCCCCAGATTAAAGCTCACCCTTGGACAAAGGTAGGGCATGGCTAGGGGCTCAGATAGCATGGCTGAGGTCCCCATTGGAGGCCAAGTGGTCTGGGGATGGTCTGGGGATCTGGCTACAAAGTCATGGCATGGGAGAGGGTCAGTAACTTGCATTAGGTTTAAGTTTATGGAATTTCCATTAATCTGAAAGTTGAGGACCCACAGATTCAAGAGTTGCACTTTCCTAGTGGGGAAACAGACTTACAGCAGAGCCCATGCAGTCATGGTGGGCTGCTCACCTGATACAAACAGCTCCCCTCAGTGGCGGTGTCTCAGTTTCCTCATTGGAAAGTGTGTTTGTGAGAGGCGGGCAGTCACATTTGCTGCAGGCATGGCAGTGAGGTGCAAGAGCATGCTAGTACCCAGGGCCTCACCCTTGTGACTTTTGCCTCTCTCCTTCTCCCCAGGTGTTCAAATCTCGAACCCCACCCGAGGCCATAGCGCTCTGCTCTAGCCTGCTGGAGTACACACCGTCCTCGAGGCTCTCCCCGCTGGAAGCCTGTGCCCACAGCTTCTTTGATGAACTGCGATGTCACGGAATCCAGCTCCCTAACAACCGCTCGCTTCCCCCCCTCTTCAATTTCAGTCCCGGTGGTGAGAGCACAGCCTGGGATCTGGGGAACTGGAGGGGCAGCCAGTGATTGTGAAGAGCTTGGTGTTGAAGACAGGAGTGGGGAGTTGAGGGTGGGTGACAAGGAAGGCCTGGGGCATGAGAGAGGCCCCCACAGTTCAAGGAAACCTAATCCTGATTCACCCGTGCCCCATGATCGGTGCTAGACGCTTTACAGTTTTTCCTACAAAATATTTGATGGCTACACCTATCTGCAAACACTGGCCTTGCCAAGAGCTGGGTCCCCGTTCAGTGCTCTAACTTCAACTGGGTCTGCAAGATGTCCTACCCTCTGACCAGGCATGTCCCTTCCTGTCTCTAGAACTCTCCATCCAACCATCTCTCAACGCCATTCTCATCCCTCCTCACTTGAGGTCCCCGGCGGGCACTGCCACCCTCACCCCATCCACACAAGGTAAGTCAGGGTAGAGCAGCATTTTCAGCTGTGGGGAAGGGGCTGTTATCACAGCCCGAATTTCCTGTAAAAATTACTAACAGCTTGATGGTATAGAAAGCATATTTTACAACATGTGAATGGCCACTTGTGTTGGGTATTATTGCCTTTGTTTTTGTTGAAATGCTAACCGGAAACCAAAGACATACGTTTGGCCTACACAAACAAACAGTTGAATTTGTTGTGCACATTAAAAAATTGGGGCCGTTTCACGTACAAGTCCAGTTTTCCTGTTTCTCCTGGGGAAGAAAATCAGATGCCACAGCGGTGGGCCTGCCTTCCTCAGGCCCTCTGAGGTGGGGCCAGGCTCTCCGGTGAGTCTTTCATTGACCAGCCTGGCCCTTTGGCATCTGAGTTTGCAACCGTGAACCTAAAGTGACAGTTTTCAATTTCAAATGTAGCATCTTACATGGACTTCCTGCTTGTGGAGGTTTGGGGGGGGTGGGGAGGAAGAAGGGGTTTGAAAGGCCGTTTGAAAGGCAAAGGCTAACTGGTCTGCTTTCTCCTCTTCAGGTTTAAATGAGGCTCAGACCGGCACAGAATGGCAGTCAACCGAAGCCACAGCTCCCCTCACTAACTCCTCCTGAGGGCCCTGCCAACTACCCTTCCATCTGGGAGCCCCATGTGGGGCTGGGAAAGGGGGGCCATAGCTCCTGCCCTGGCTGGGCCCCTAGACTAGAGGGCAGAGGTAAATGAGTCCCTGTTCCCTCTTCCTGTTTCACCCTCACCAGCCTCACCCCTATGGTGGGCTTTTTAAGAGGATTTCAACTGGTTGTGGGGAGGGAAGAGAAGGAAGGATGGACGGGTTGGGGGCATGAGGAACTCCTATCCCTAGGCCTCCTTCCGTCCCCCCAGACCGCCCCTCTCCACCTCACCCTCCCCTCCTGTGTCCCTTGTAAATAGAACCAGACCAGCCCATCTCCTCTCCTCTTTCCTGGCCCCCGGGTGTAAATAGATTGTTATAATTTTTTTCTTAAAGAAAACGTCGATTCGCACCGTCCATCCTGGCTCCTCCCCCTCCTACAGCTGTGTTCCCCTCCTGTCCTCTGCCCTAAGGTCTCCTCCCTCCTCTCCCCACCCTGGAGGGCTGGGTTAGGGATGGTGGGGGGATCCTGATGTCTTAGTTTCCACAGTAAGGTTTGCCTGTGTACAGACCTCCGTTCAATAAATTATTGGCATGAAACCTGCTTCCGTCTAGCTGTCTTTTTCCATAGAGGTGAGAGAGGTGTCTGGTGGGCTGTCCTAGGACAGGAGGGGGCTGTATCTCAAGTTGGGGACAGGGTAGGGTGAACCCAAACTGGCCCATCTGAGGCCTGAATTAACCTGGCTGAGGGGCCCAACCTTCCTGTGAAGATGAGCTGGTCTGGTTTATATGCTGCAGAGGCCTAGGAGGAGCCTGGCCCTGGTCTCAGGTCGGACCACATGCTTCCACCCAGGGAGGGAGAGCTGGGATCAGAGAGGTCATGGCCACACTGGGAAGTGGCAGGGTCAAGACTTGAACAAAGCTGTTTCAGCCCCCTGCTGCCTGCTGTTTCAGCGTCTGGAGGACATAAAACTTAGCCTGATATAAACATAAAAAAATTTTGTTGTTAATCTTCACCTGAGAATATTTTCCCATTTATTCTTAGAGAGTAGGAGGGGGAGAGAGAAACATTGATTGGTTGCCTCCTGCACATTGGGCTAGAGATCAAACCTGTGGTGCACAGGCTGATGTTCTAACCACCGACCCACACAGACCAGGGCCTGATGCAGACTTAGTGGGCATGCATGGGGGCAGAGGTGCTGTCCCCAAACCCTAGCAGATCCCCAAGCCTTCATTTCCAGGTCTCATACCTGTTGGGAAGTGACACCCTGGGGAAGGTTGAGGCAGAGATCCTGGCTTTTATCCTCGCTTAGAAAACATACTGGGGCCAGACAGAAATGGCACCTCCTCTTCATGGAGTCAGCAGCAGGTGAGGGCAGAGGCTGCAGAGGAAGAAGGGGATCCGGGGAGGAGCCAATGACATGTGCTCCACTGGTGAAAAGCGGTGTTCCAGAGGGAGTTCAAGGATGTCTGCAGTGTCTGGGCTTTTGTCTGCTAAGAAGCCCCAGAGGCATCTGTATATTGCCCAATAAAACCCAGAGCCTCCCTGCTCAGAACCATTGGGCATCACCTTTTTTGTATGATGAATACATACATAAAGCATGTGGGCCAGAGGAGAGGAGAGTTGGCCTGGGTGAGGGGACCTGTGTGGTCCGGCTGCTGGGGATACCTTTCGTTACATCTGGTTAGCCACGAGGTCACCGTCCTTCACCCTCCTCCTGTCCCCATGGTCTATGCCCAGCTCTGGCCTGTTCTCCCTCCTGGACCATCTTTAGTCTTCCCCAGAGATCCCTAATCCCCCATTAGGACCTAACCCTTCTTGCACTGCTCCAATTTAGCCTAGCTTCAAGGCCTTCCCAGGTCTGGCCCCCCAAAAAACAACTCAATCCTGCTTCACTCTGCCCCATTCCCTGACCTGCCATATATCATGTTTAGAGAGGGTGTTACGCCCAGACTTTGTGATCCAAGAACTGTCACCTTAAGAAACCTTTGAGCCGGGACCGGTTTTGCTCAATGGATAGAGCGTCGGCTTGGAGACTGAAGGGTCCCGGGTTCGATTCCGGTCAAGGGCATGTACCTTGGTTGCGGGCATATCCCCAGTAGGGGGTGTGCAAGAGGCAGCTGATCGATGACTCTCTCTCATCGATGTTTCTAACTCTCTATCTCTCTCCCTTCGTCTCTGTATAAAATCAATAAAAAATATTAAAAAAAAAAAAAAAAGGAATACTGTACTAATAATAAAAAAAAAAAAAACACCTTTGAAAAGGCTGGGGATCCTTTCCTTCTCCCAAGACCTTTGATCTTTTGGAAGACTCCCCAAATCCCAACTGCTCTGTGACACTGGCTCACCTTTCCTCCAGTTACAATGAATCCTCCTCTGGCCCTGAGCTCCTGCAAGGATTTTAGGTCGAAATCATTCAATAGCACGGGTTATATACGTGGGCTGAAGGGCCCACCTAAGTGCATATCTCAGCAATGCCTTTGTCTAGCTGTGAGACCTTGGGCAAATCTCTGTCCATTTTCTTTTTCTTTTTTCTATGCAGCACTTCACCAATTTGCATGTCATCCTTACGTTGGGGCCATGCTAATCTGCGTATCATTCCAATTTTAGTATATGTACTGCTGAAGCAAGTATTCTGCCCATTTTCTCATCTGTACGACAGGGATAATTCTGAGGTCACCTCACAGGCCTGTTGGGATCATAGCACATGTATAGTGGTAACTGGTGCCTGCTTCGGCTAGAAGTCAAAGGGTAGCTGTTACCGTAGCTGTGAATAACTGGAAAATTTCCCAGTATATTAGAACCCACCCTCCATGCCGTCTGCCTGGAATGTTCTCTTATGCTAACAGATTTCTACCTCCTTTAGAAAGTCTCTACCACCGAGCTTCGTTCCCTGCTCTGGGATCCACTGTCCATGTGCACCCCATCACCCCTGAGGAACCTGGGGCTGAGCTCTGTCTGCCCGAGGGGCAGGGCAGAAGTGTGACTTGTCTCTTACCCCAAGCATCGCCCAGCACTCAGGGAGGACTTAGGACACCCAAGCTGATAAAGAATCAATGACACACACTTAGAGAGCAAGGCCATCTGTACTTGTGCATGTTCCTCACACACGCTAGGCCTCCTGGGCTGAGCCCCGGGTCTGACTCATTCCTGGGCCTCCTGAGCACTAGGGCACCTATAGGTTCCCTTCCATTGTTAAAGGTGAGATTAAGGAAGCCCCGAGAAGTCAGTGCCTTTCCTCCACCACGCATGGCCGAGTACTGGGCGCTGAGAGTCCGGGGGAAGCTAGGGCTGGGGGGCAGCAAAGGACCTAAAGATGTATGGGGCACATATCTGAGCACATGGCCAGGGCTCAGGAAAGGTTACCTGATGTTTCTGGGTAGCAGGGTGATGCAAAGCACCTTGGCAAACCCTGCTATGTGGGGTGACCTGGGACAGATCGTATCACGTCTCAGAGCTTCAGTTTCCTCTCAGGCAGAGAAAGGTGACAAGAGAAACCTGGCAGGGCTGTCCTGAGGAGCCAGTGGGTAAGATGCCCGGGTGTGGTCCCCTTCCTCCCCAGAGGAGCCCACACACACACTTGCTGCTGCAACCAAACTCCTGTTGTTGCTCTTGGCTGTGTCACACGAAGGCTGTGTCCAATTGCAACAGCCCGCTCGCTTCACTGGCCCCCAGTGCCGCCTGGCACAGCTGCAGCGTGTCCTCAAGTGCCAGCGGCTGGGATGTCTCGATGATGGCGATGGTCTCCCCGAGCTCAGTGCACATGATCGTCTGCTGAGGCTGGGTGGGTGGGGGTGAGGCGGGAGGTGGTGATCTGGGCTGCAGTGTCATCGTCCGTGCTCGAGCATGGACCCGCTGGTGCAGGCGCAGGCCTGCCATGGCGCGGAACCAGCGGCCACATGTCCCGCAGCAGTAGGGGCTCTTGTTGTAGAGACCGGCGATGGGGAGGCGGGGCGCTCGAGCGAAGGCCACTGGCCGCAGGTGCAGCCTCCGATGCTGCTGCAGGTTGGAGCTCTGTGTGAAGCGCTTACCGCAGTCCAGGCATTGGTAGGGGCGCACGCCTGTGTGGGTCAATTGGTGGCGGCTGAGATTGGCCAGAGAAGCAAAGGTCTTGCCACAGGAGTGGCACTGGAAGGGCCTCTCGCCCGTGTGCGTCCGCAGGTGGTTGTGCACATGGACCAGCTTCTTGAATCCCTTGCCACAAACCCCGCAGCAGTGTCGCCGCTCAGGGGGCCCGTGGACTGTCCGCCGGTGCCGAGAGAGGCGGGAGGCCGAGGCGAAGGACTTGGAGCACTGTGGGCAGGGAAGCTGGGCAGGCGGGGTAGGGGGCGGTGGTGGGGGCATGGGCTCAGCTGGAGTCAGGGAGGCTCCTGCTGTGAGGGGGGGCACCCCGCTCTTGCCGGCGTGGGTGCGCCTGTGGTAGAGAAACTTGGTCATGTTGCTGAATGTCTTGCCGCAGCGGCAGCGATGCAATGGGTTGGCGGTGTGGGCCCGCCGGTGGGCCACCAAGGTGAGTTCTGTGCTGAAGCCACGGCCACAGTCCACGCAGAGGTAGCGGGCTTCCCCGCGGTGCAGCCGCAGGTGCTGTTCCAACGAAGCTGCTTTCTTGAAGACCTTGAAGCAGGTGGTACACTCGTGTGTGCCGCCAACATGGGCCCGCCCATGAGCCAGCAGCCGGTTTGCTGAGCTGAAGCTGCGTTGGCACTGGCTGCAGCGGAAGGGGTGGGTTGCTGATGCCGGGCCATGGGATGCACGCCGGTGTCGTCGGCGTGCCCCTGCTGAGGTCCAGTGCTGGGGACAATCTCCACAGTTCTGGGTCTGGGCATCTGTGGACTTGTCGCCCTCTATAGCACTGTCACCAACTTCTGAGGCCAACGCCGCTGCCGCTGCCTCCTCCTCCTCCTCCTCTGTCTCATCGTCTTCTTCATCCTCATCTTCCTCTAGCCCATTGCATTCCTCTTTCTCTAGGGAGTCAAAGTGTGTGCCTTGATGATCCAAGAATTCCTCAGGGGTGGCACAGAGGGTACAGCATTCAGGACACTCATAGGGATCCATCTTGACTCCAGGTGGAGCAGGAGACTGAGGTGGTGGTGCTGAGGGAGGGGGCGGGGGAGGCGGCAGCACTGGTGGTCCGGCTGCTGCAGTAGAAAGGTGCTGGGCCTTCCGGTGAGCCACCCACAGCTCGGGCAAGGGGAACAGCTCCTGGCAGTCGCCACACTGGTACTGGATCTGGCTCGCAGACGCCTGCAGGTGGGAGTCTTGGTGGGCCAGGAGCTCCTCACGGGAGAGGATGAGCTGGCTGCACTCACCACACTGGAAAGGCCCATCCTCAGTACCTGGCACTAGCTCTGGCTCCAGGCCAGCGTCCTGGGTGGTCAGCACCTCCTCCTCTATGCCAGTGGGCACATGCTGATCCTGGTGGGAGATGACCTCCTCCAGGGTATTGTAGAGGTTGCCACATTCAGAGCACATGAACTGGTGGTGCTGGAAAAAGAGAGATGAGGCAAGGGCTTCCTCAGGTTTCATATCGGTCACCTCTGTGGCCATCTCCACCGCCCTTGGTGATATCTGTGTCAGCATCTCGGCCATCTCAGCCATCTCTGCCATTGTGGGGAAAGCAGTGCCTGGAGAAAGAAGGGAGGTGGTGAGACATCAGGAATCCAAGGGAAGAGGGGATATTTTAGGAGCTCCTTTGTCCATCCTGGCACTCATTAGCTTCACCAAGTTTAGACCCAGTGTTTGTGCCTCAATCTTTAATGAGCCTGTGACTCTGAAGCTAACACACGTCCCGTGGCGGCCAGACATCTGCAGGAGAGACAGCCCTCCTCAGTCTGGCCTCTGATGCTGCCCTCCTTACCCAGAGGGACAGTTGCACCCTTTTTGAGAACCCATGTCTGTTTAGGCCTCTCGGCCTTGCCTGTGCAGTTTCCTCTCTGGGCAGCACCTTTCCTCCTTCCACATGGAGACAGAGATGCAGCAAAGAGGTTAAGGGCCCAGGCCCTGGAACCACACTGCCCTTGGCTTGAATCTGAGCTCCACCACATACTTCCTCTCTCGGAGACTGTCTTCTCACTTTTGAAATGGGGCTAACAGTAGTACTGACCACAAAGTCTCTGGTACTTAATAAAGGCGAGGCGGAACCACTGGTTTTACCCAGAAATGTTTCTGGACCCCAGGTCTTTGATGCTGCTATTCCTTCTACCAAGTAAGTTCTCTCCTCTTCTAGTCTAGCAAACTCCTCCCCAACATTTCCTTTGTGAAGCTTTTTCCAATGGCCAATCTCTTTTCCTCAGAGTTCCTATGGTATTTAGTGACACCTCTATTATAGAAATTATCATGAACCCTGGATGAAGTCTCTGTGTTCCTCACTGAGCTTGTAGGCAGGACAAGTCTGATTCACTATAGAGACTGTTGTCACCAACTAAAGCACTGACCAGGGATGGGGATTTTAACTATTAAACTTTTATCTATGTGCTCCATCTCCCCGTCTAAATGTGTGGACTCAATTCATATAGGTCATTTCACACAGCAGTGGCCCAGGGTCTCTCCAGCAAATGATATCCCCCCTCCACCAACCCCACAAGTATAAGAGCTAATTTTCCAAATTCAATTTCTATCTTCTCTATCTCTTCAACACATCTGTTAATGCCAGAGGGCAGTTTACAGCCTGACACATAAACATTGCTCCTATTAAGTTCCCAGAGGGCAGGGATTTTAGTCTGTTCATCACTGATCTATTTCCAATGCCAAGGACAATGCTTAGCACACCTTAGACACTGAGTAGATATTTAGTGAATAAATAATCCTCTTTCCAGGAAGTGAGGCCCAGTGCACATTCCGCCTCCCCACCAGACTAACTCTCCTATTAGACCTCCCACAAAACCAGCCTAGCACAGGACCCTGCTTTCAGTTGGTGCCCAATAAATGCTCCTTGAGTAAATAATCCACCAAAAGCCCAGGAGTACACTGTCCTTAACTTCCTCACTAAGTTTTTAGTTGCCAGGGCCTGAGAATTTAATTTTTTCTTGTTTACAGTCCCACTCTAAACAGAGAACTCCTCCAGGAGGCGGTCCAGTGCCTGGTGTGAAGTTTATGCAAAGTAGTACCCAGTAAAGGTCTTTCTAGAAGGTAGCCTGAAAGACCTAACATTTGGATTTCCCTCGTTTACATTCCCCCCCTTCCCAATGATGGATTGTAAACTATTGGAGGGGAGGAAGGGGGTTTTCTATACAGTGGACCAATTCAGGAAAGAACCCACCAGGGGCCTGGAAATTCAATTTTCCCGCTGCACAGCTACACATCCCTTTTCTCTGCCCAGACTCAGCAGCCTAACAGCTCCCTGCAAAGTGTCTGGGAACGGAGAGCTCAAGTGTAGGGTCCGGCACAGTGCCGGAGTCAATCAATGCTCCAAGGCACATAGGAAGGAGCGCTCTCCTTCCACTCAGCGCCGCTCCCGCCATAGCGCAGGCCCCAAAGCTCTTTGACCTCCGGCGTCCCCTTCGTCTCCCTCCATCCCCTCCGCTGGCCCAGCGCTCTCTTCGCCCGCCCGCCCGCCCGCCCCGCGGCGCGGTGACCCTCACCCGTCTCTCTCGCCTCCTGCAGACCCCGCCGCTCTTGACACAGACCCCCGGCTCCGGGCGTGCGGCACCCCTCACCATCCACACCTCCCATTGGGCGGCGCCCTTACCCGCGGCGGCCAATCAGAGCCGGCAGCGTAGGGCACGCGCCCGGGAGCCTGCGTGTTGGAGCTCAGGCGGGGCTCGGCGAGTGTCTCCACGCACATACGACCCTGCCCTGTGGGCTGGGCTGGGGCTCGGAGAGGCGCCTGCGCAGTTCTCCTCGGCTGGCTGCGTTGGTGCAGTCTGCTGGGAGAGACAAGTGCGCATGATTGAAGTGAAGGCCCACGGAGCGGACTAGGCGGCGTGATATATATATATATATATATATATATATATATATATATATATATATATATATATATATATATATATATATATATATATATATATATATATATATTAATATCTATATTAGGGAGAGGGATAGAGAGTTAGAAACATCCATCAGCTGCCTCCTACACACCCCCTACTGGGGATGTGCCTGCAATCAAGGTACATGCCCTTGACTGGAATCGAACCTGGGACCCTTCAGTCCCACAGCCAACGCTCTATCCACTGAGCCAAACCAGGCGTGAGACCTTGACAGAAGTGTCATAGCTGAAAAGATTAAGCATCTCCAGGAACACAGCTTTGGAGCCAGACACGCTTGGAGGACTTCTCTCTGGACCTCACCTTTACGCCTGTGTAAAATGAGTCCTATCCAAGGTTATTGAGGGAACTGGATGAAATCAAACACATAAACTGGCTGGTGTGGCTTAATGGTTGAGTGTAGACCTACGAACCAAGGAGGTCACAGTTCGATTCCCGATTAGGGCACATGCCTGGGTTGCAGGCTCTCATCGATGTTTCTACCTCTCCCCTCTCCCTTCTTTTCTCAAATAAATAACATATTTTGACCCTGGCTGGATAACTCAATTGGTTAGAGCATCATCCTGATATCCCAAGGTTGCGGGTTTGATCCTGGTAAGAAGCAACCAATGAAAACATAAATAAGTGGAACAACAAAATCGAGGTCTCTTTCTCTCTCATTAAAAAAAAAAAAAAAAAAAAAAAAAAAAAAAAAAAAGGTACTCACTTCGGTAGCACATATATTACAATTGGAATGATACAGAGGAGATTAGCATGGCCCCCGCACAAGGATGACATGCAAATTCATGAAGCATTTCATATTTTTAAGGCATGGCCTTGTTTTCCTGAATTGATTAGATGACTCTATGTTTTTGACTAATTAAAGCATAATTTTCATTTTATAAGCTTAAAAAATAAAAATAAATAAAAACCTTTCCGTACAGGGCCTGATACACCGTGGCTGCTCACTATAACCCATTCAACATGGACGTACTCCTTCCCAGTTTGCTTTCCCTTCCCTCCCACTCTTCGGTTGGTTTAATGACATCCACTTATTGGACACTAATGTGTGTCCCACCCAGGACTAGTTTCAACAGATTACAACTGACATCAGAAAGAGGAAGGGATTCTTTCGAGATCACTCCTGCAGCCCAAGCAAAGTCCGTGCTGGCTGAGCCAGTGCCTGGAAGGACCTAGGTCTCCCACTTCCCAAGGGGAGATAATTATGGGGTGGAAACCTGACTTGAAGGCAGGTGTGACTTATGATCTTGAGTGACCTAAGTGTGGGGGCGGGGCGGGGGCAAGCAGCCTGCAAGCCAACTCTTTTGATAAGAGACTTGCTCTCCCCAGAGAGAAACTCATAGGTGCAGGTTACAGAGGGGATATTGGGAGATCCTGTAACCTTGGAGGGCAGATGCTAGAAGGGGTTATAAGAGGCAGCAGGGTTCGTGGTGGATGCAGACAGGAGGTGCACATTTGGGATGCAGGGGCCTATTGCAATCAGGAAGTATTGGTTTTTAGCATGAGAAGGAGTCCTTGTCTTGATCAGGGAAAGGAACTTATAGATGGGTATTGGGGGTTCTGTTGGATGTTGAGGGATTCCAGTTTGCAGGTTCCTGGTTGGCATTAGAAGTAAGGGGGAGTTTAAAGGGGGAGAGTCCCAAGTCTTGATCATAAGGGCCTGAGCACTGCTCAGACAGGAAGGTCGGTCGTGACTGTGGTCTTTTGCTACAAACAGTGGTACCGTGGGTGTCTAAATTGTGATTAGGAGGGGGCTGCTGTAGTCCATGAGATGAATAATCCCAAAAGGCTATGACGTGGGGCCACAAGGACCCAGCGGTTTAAGTCGCAGACTGGCAGAAGTAACCTAGTAACCCTGTACCAAATCCAACCCAAACGCGGAACAACTCCGGCTCAGCGCAAGCGCAGCACAGGCCAGCGCGGCCGGCGCGGCCGGCGCGACTGGGGGCGGGCCCTGGGGGCGAGGCTTGGTAACCCCCGTTCTGCGCGTGCGCGTAAGGGGCGTGGCGGTCGCACCTGCGCGAGTCGGAGGAAGGAGGAGGGGCGAGGTGACGCAGGCGCAATAATAGAGAAGGTGCCAGAAAGATCCAAAACAAGTGGCCGCCGCCGTCGCCCCGGAGTCCTCAGACGCCAGATTCTGGTGAGGATCCAAGGGAGGCCTAAGGGCGACTGGTGGCGGGCAGGCGGAACCGCCTGGGTGCCGGGGAGAGGGCGGTCCCATCCCCACAGGGCGAGCGGGTCGGGTTTGGACAGCACCACCTCTGTGGGGCGAAGCGCCGCTTGGGTTAGTGGCGCTTGTGGGGCCAGAGGGTCCCCTTCGGACGGCACCACTGGGGTGGAGCCACCGTGGGGCTGGTCGGACAGGACCGCTGGACGGGGCCCAGGGCGCGTCCGGGCAGAACTACCCAGGGTCAAAGGGCAGTCGGTAGGGTGCCCCGGGGTGGGCCCCTCAGGCTCGTTCGGACCGAATCACTTGGTCGGTTCGGGAGGCTGGTTCGGAACGTACCACCTCGGGAGGGGCGTTCGGGCTCTGCAGGCCTGACCGGTCGGAGGTCGAGCGAGGTCTGACGTCTCGACCTCTTCTTAGGGGACCTCGGGCGATACCATTCGCTTCCGGGGGGAAGAGGGCGGCTGAGCCGGCTAGGGTGTAAGGGTAGACCCGCCCCGCGGTTTTGGGGGGTCCGGGGACGCCCTGGCGGGGTGGCGCTTGGGCCCCACGTCACTGACCACTGCCCCCTCCCCGCCGAGTGGGTTCTAGGCCCTGGTTCGAGCTTGTTCCGACCCCCTCCCCCGGGTATGGCGCTGTCTGGGTCGACCCCTGCCCCGAGCTGGGAGGAGGACGAGTGCCTGGACTACTACGGGATGCTGTCGCTTCATCGTATGTTCGAGGTGGTGGGCGGGCAGCTGACCGAGTGCGAACTGGACCTGCTGGCTTTCCTGCTGGACGAGGCCCCCGGCGCGGCCGGCGGCCTGTCCCACACCCGCAGCGGCTTGGAGCTGCTCCTGGAGCTGGAGCGCCGCGGGCAGTGCGACGAGAGCGACCTGCGGCTCCTGGGGCAACTCCTCCGAGTGCTGGCCCGGCAGGACCTGCTGCCGCACCTGGCGCGCAGGCGGCGCCGGCCAGGTATGGTTGAATGGGAGGGCGATAGACTTCCGATGGGGCGAGGGCCCTCGATCTGCATCCGGGCCCCTGAAGTGTCTGATATGGAGGACAGGGCCCTATCAGACAGCCTGTGTCCCATGCCACTACCCCCTCCTCCCGGAGAAACATAGGAGGGAGCAGCGAGCTTTGGGAGGGGCGAGCTTCTGGAATTTGGCCATGTCAATAATGCTGTTTGTAGCCACTTTATGGAGGGCTTGTTTCATGCCAGACACAGTAAGCCCTTCGTATGAACTATCACTTTATATCCTCCTGGTACTTCCCTGAGGAAGTACTGTTATTGTCTCAGCGTGCAGGAAAACAAGGTTCAGAGGAGTTAAGCAGCTTGTTCACATATAAGAACTGAATCCTGTGTGCTGGGCACAGGAGATAGAAGGTGATGGGACTGACAAAGTACTTACATGAACCCTACATTTATTGGGTAATCAGATCTTGAAACAGATAAATGACTTGTTTTCATTTGTTATAGAAAGACTAAAGCAAAGTAATGGTATAGAGAGAGGAGGGAGTTCTTCTAAGTAGAGGGAGGTCCCCTTAGATTGGATAACCAGTCAAGACCTTTCTGGGAAGGTGACGTTTGAACCGAGGCTGCACTGCTGGCACTGTGCAAGTTCTGAAGCCCTGAGGCAGGAATGAATTTGGCATCCTCAGAGGCCAGTGTGGCAGGGGGGACCAAAGAAAGGGCAGAGGGGTAGGTGAGAAGCCACATCACAGGGGCTTGCAGATAACAGCTAAACAGCAAGAATTCACACTCGGCTGGTTTGTGCCCAGAGTTGATGTCCTTAATCCTCATGAAGGACAGCAGTCTTAAGAAGGCCAGAAGCTGGAGGGTGTAAGGCACAAGAGCCCCGTGCAGGCATAGGCCAAGGCTATTGAGGACTTGGCAGGATTGCTTGGCGAGGTGTAGGGGCTAGCTTAGGGAGGGGGATTGTGAACTCCCCTCACCAGAATAAGCCCATGGGATTTGGATAACCAGGAGAAGGGCAGCACTAAGGAAGCACTGACAGCACTCTTGGAGAAATATGTCTGACGGCCAGGCTCTGGAAGAGAAGATTTGGAGAGACCAAAGAGGCCTGCTTTACTCCCTGTGGCCACAGGAAGAGTGGGGTGAGGGGGGTGCAGTTCATGGTGGGCAACATTGCTGGGATCCTTACAATGACTGTTTACAGAATAACTCTGGCTGAGTCCTCTATGTCTGGAGGCATCGAGCAACTACTGGGCAGGAGGTGTTGGAGAGGGAATGAATGTCTGGACTCTGACCTCTGGGGAACTGGGGAACCCTATGGGGCAGGTGTATATCTCCAGGGGTGGGAATTAGAGGCTGGGCCAGGGAGGGGCCTGAGGCTGTGAATACCTCTTTTCATTTTTCTCTCCCCCAGTGTCTCCAGAACGCTACAGTTACGGCACCTCCAGCTCTTCTACAAAGAGGACAGAGGGCAGCTGTCATCGCCGTAGGCAGTCAAGCAGTTCTTCAGATGCTCAGCAGGGCCAGTGGGAGACAGGTGAGCTCAGCTGGGTGGGTGTGAGGGCAGTTTCTCTCTCGTCCTTCAGAACCCTGATGAACCTCCTCCATCAAAGAAGGGGCCCAAGGAGTCATTCTGTTTTGTTTTTGCTTTGTGTGTTTGTTATTTGTACAAAAGCATGTGTCCAGAAGCAACGAATGGAGTTGTTTCTTGTGGTTTTATATTTCATCTAAACAGCATCACTTCATGGGTTCATTATTCACATGGGTGTCTTTGCTGAACATGTTTCTGAGGTTCATGTTGAATAATTCTGGTGTCTTTGAATTGTGTCAGTTATTATAATTCCAATTCTCCCTGGTTTTTATTTTCTTATCATTTTATTGATTGAGAGAGAGATTAGTTGTCCCACTTATTTATGCACTTATTGGTTCTTGTATGTGTCCTGACCCTGGGGATAGAACCTTCAACTGGCATATCAGGACGATGCTCTAACCAGCTGAGCTACCTGGACGGGACCCATTTTTTAAAATTATTCAAACATACAGAGATATTAAAAGATTAGTACAGTGAACATGCTCATATTTTCATAGATTCAGTCATTTTAGACTCGTGCTGCTTTTGCTTTATATCAGGAGTGGGGTATATCCAGCTCAAGGGCCGTATAAGGCTTGCAAAAGCATTTGGTCTGGCCAAGGCATTAAGGATGAGTTAATGAAATGTTTGATCAAATAGAGCAGGCTAATTTTTAAAAACAATATATTTTATTGATTTTTTACAGAGAGGAAGAGAGAGGGATAGAGAGTTAGAAACATCGATGAGAGAGAGTCATCGATCAGCTGTCTCCTGCACACCCCCGACTGGGGATGTGCCCGCAACTAAGGTACATGCCCCTGACTGGAATCGAACCCGGGACCTTTCAATCCCAAGGCCGATGCTCTATCCACTGAGCCAAACCAGTTTCGGCGAGCAGGCTAATTTTTAAATTGATAATTTTATATGGCCCACAAATGATGTTATTAATATTTAGATGGCCCTTGGTAGAAAAAGGTTCCCTATTCCTGCTTTACATGAATTTATACATAGTTCTGTTCTTATGTTGTTGTTGTTGAACTTTTTGAAAGTAAATTCCAGGCATCAGGACACTTTACCCCTAAATCAGCAGCCCTCTCCTGAGAATAAGAAGATTCTCCTTTACCACTTCAAGACCATTACCATTCCTAAGAAAATACGCACTAATTCTGATATCCTAATGGTCCATTTTCATGTCTCTGTAAGATTGTCTCCATTTTTAGGATCCACTCATAGTTGAATTGTTATGAATTCAGTTATTACATCTCCTTAAGCTCTTACTAAAATAAAACTCATCCCGACCCACACTTTTTTCCTTTTTTCCTTATGATATTGACTTCCTGATCCTGCCAGGCCAGTTGTTTTGTAGAATATCCCAATTATTTCGGAGTGTCTAATAATTTCCTAATGGTATTATTTATCTTGTCCCTTTGCCCTCTGTATTTTCTGTGAAGTGGGAATTGGGTCTTGGAGGCTTGATTCGATTCAGATTCCACATATTTTTGCAGGAATGCTTCTTGGTTGATGTGGTGTGCTTTGAATTGGAGCACATCAGGAGACAGAAGGTCTGGTTTTCCTGTCATGAGTGGGCAGTTTGATCCCTTGTTGAAGGCAGTGTCTGCCATATTTATCCTTTGCAAAGAGACATCCCTTCTCCCTGTATGGTTAGTAAACAATCCATGGGATGACACTTTGACACATCCTATTCTGTGACAACATCCAATGGTGATACCTGTCTGAACCAGTTATTACATTGGTGTTTGGAAAATGGTGATTTTCTAATTATTCTACACCTATTAGCTGGTATTTTTTTCAAGAGGAATTTTTCTTTCCAATTCTGCCCTCCCTTTTTGGTGAAGAGTATCACTATGGACTCATGCATTCTTATTTATTTACTGTGTTATAATCAATTAGTCATTCTTCCTTGTGTACAAATTAGCTAGCTCCTGTGTCTTTTTGATGAGTCTGCATCATGCACTGGGCACTTCCTGTTTTGTGTCACTGCAAGATGTGGCACTCACCTGTACTTTTCCTTCCCCAGCCCTGGAATCAGCTATTTTCAGAAGCCTGGTTTCTTTTAGAGGCAATGGTATTTAGAGACCAAGATCTGCATGCTTAGTGTGTATCATTTCTAGATTCTTTCAGTGAATAGATTTAGAAACTGTCCTTTTGAAAAGTTCATATTAGTGTTTTTATTTTTTTATTTAAAAAAATATATATTTTATTGATATTTTACAGAGAGGCGGAAGGGAGAGAGATAGCTAGAAACGTCAATGAGAGAGAAACATCGACCAGCTGCCTCCTGCACACCCCCTACCTGGGATGTGCCCGCAACCAATGTACATGCCCTTGACCGGAATTGAACCCGGGACCTTTCAGTCTGCAGACCGACGCTTTACCACTGAGCCAAACCGGTTTCGGCCCATATTAGTGTTTTTAATTCAAAATTAACATCCAAGGATGTTACTCTGAAAATCTTGGTCTTTAATAACATTGAGATATGGATTTATTTACTTATTTTACAACAATTAAAAAAGTAGCTTCAAAATTACAGTGTTAATGCCACAGCTGACTCTATGAAGGAAACCACATATTTATAGTCCTGGTCTTTGGGAGTATATCCCACTGAGAGTTTATACTCAGAGTGTTCTTCCAAGTAACTTGAAATAATTATTTTCCACTTATTTATGTTACCAATTATATACGTATTTATGTTTCTGTTTGTGTTAAATTTTATGGTTTCTTCCCCTCCTTTCCTCCTTCCTCCTTCCTCCCTCCTCCCTCCCCCTTCCTCCCCTCCCTCATTTTTTTTTTTTTTTTTAATATATTTTATTGATTTTTTGCAGAGAGGAAAGGAGGGATAGAAAGTTAGAAACATCGATGAGAGAGAATCATCGATCAGCTGCCTCTTGCACACCCCCTACTGGGGATGTGCCTGTAACCCAGGTACATGCCCTTGCCCGGAATCGAACCCGGGACCTTTCAGTCCGCAGGCCGACGCTCTATCCACTGAGCCAAACCGGTTTCGGCCCCTCCCTCATTCTTTTCCTCCCTCCTTCCCTCACTCCCTCACTGGAGGATATTTTCCCCATTGATTTTAGAGAAAGTGGAAGGGAGGGGGGAGAGAGAGAGAGAGAAAGAGAGAGAGGGAAACATTGATGTGAGAGAGCTACATCAATTAGTTCACCCAACTGGTGCTGGGGACCTACAAGTCAGGTTCGTGCCCTTGACCAGAATAGAACCTGTGACCCTTCAGATTATAGGCCAATTCTCTAACCACTGAGCCATGCCAGCCAGGTCATGGTTTGTTTGTTTCTTTCATCTTTAAAAATTAAAAACAAAACATTTTATTGATTTCAGAGTTAGAAACACCAGTGATGAGAGTGAATCATTGATGGGCAACTTCCTGCACGCCCCCCACTAGGGACGGAACCCACAACCAGGAATCAAACCATGATCTCCTGATTCATAGGTCAACACTCATCCACTGAACTACAACTGGCCTGTGTCAAAGCTAAAGAATGTAGCCCGGCCGGTGTGGCTCAGTGGTTGGGTGTTGACCCATGAACCAAGAGGTCCTCAGTTTGATTCCTGGTCAGGGCCCATGCCTGCGTTTTGGGCTTGATCCCCAGTGGCTGGTGTGCAGGAGGTAGCCTATCAATGTCTCTCTCTCATTGATGTTCCTCCCTCCCTCCTCCCCCCCCCTCTCTTCTCCAATCAATAAAAACATTTAAAAAACTAAAAAACAAACAGACTAGAAAGTATGTAAAAAAACATGTTCTTAGAAGTATCACTTCCACTGTTGTTCCCCCACTCCAGTAAATAGGTAATCAGTTTTATTCATTTCTGGTTTATCCTTACAATGTTTCACCTTGCAAGAATAGCAATTATATTTATGTTTCCCTTCCTTTTTTATGTGAAGTACAGCAAGCTGTAGCCACCTCTTTTGCATCTTGGTTTACCTCACTAAACAGTCTATACTGGAAATTACTCTGTATTCTTTTTGCTACACATTTACATTATTTTCAAGTGTATGCAGCTATTAGCTATAAACAGTGCATTATGGCTGTTGCCATCTGGTCCTGGTGTGACTGTGCAGGAGTTTCTGTATGGTCACACCTGGGAGGGGGGTTGCTGGGTGGGTGGGTGGGGGTGTGTTTGCCCTTCTAGATGATGCTAGGTTGTACCTACTTCCCATCTATGGACAGGGCCTCTGAGCCAGAGATGCTTGCTCACCCAAGGTCTCATGGAAGAGACCAGCCTCGAGCTCTTCCCTAGGCACCTGCCTTGGTACTCTACCTATCATCTTGTCCTCAACCACTTCATTTTTCTCTTTTTAAAATTGATTTCAACCAAGGAAAGGGGGAGGAATAGAGGAATAGAAACATCAAGATAAGAGAGAATCATTGATCGGCTACTTCCCACACATCCCCTATTAGGGATCCAGCCAGCACCTCGAATATGCCCTGACTAGAAATCAAACCTCAACCTCCTGGCTCATGAGTCGATGTTCAACCACTGAGCCACACCACCCAGGGCTCTTTTTTTTTCTTTTTAATCCTCACTCAAGGAGTGAGGATATTTTTTCCATTGATTTTTTTTCAGAGAGACAGGAAGGGAGGGAAGAGGAGAAGAAACATTGATGTTAGAGAGAGACATCGATTGGTTGCCTCCCATGCATGGTCCATGCATCCCAACTGGGGATAGGGATTGAACCTGCAAACCAGGTACACACTCTGGTTGGGGAATTAAACCTATCACCCTCTGGTGTGCAGGCCAGTGCTCTGACCACCAAGAAACACCTGCCAGGGCTCAACCATCCCATTTTTCTCAGGCTCCCCCCCCACCAAGCGACAGCGGCGGAGTCGGGGCCGGCCCAGTAGTGGTGCCAGACGGCGGCGGAGAGGGGGTCCAGCTACCCCCCAGCAGCAGCAGGAGCCGGCCAAACCAACCTCAGAAGGCAAAGTGACCTGTGGTAGGTACCTGTGGGTCTTGGGGAATGCATGTGCAGTGTCTACGGCAGGCTGCTGAGCCAGAGAACAGGAGGAATGGGTACTTGTCTGAGGCGTGGCAAACCTAGTGACGCCTAGCAGGAGGGCAGCGGTTCTTATCTCTCTGTTTGGTAGTGGAATACTATTATTCTGTTCATCCTGCTTATGTACATTCTGCCCATAGTTAAGGATCACATCCCGTGCTACCTCCCTGATAATCCATTGCCCTCAGATTCATTTATTCAGCAAACATTTGCAAGTGTGTATTTATTCAACAATCATTTCTTCTGCAATGGTGGAGTGATATAGGGGTGAAAACAGGACCCTGTGACAAGCTGCTTGATTTACCTCCTGGCCTTAGCAATTATATGGGCCCTCTGATCTTGGGCAGGTGAATGAACCCCTCTGTGTCTCAGTTTCCACATCTGTAAAAGGAGACTGTTAATGGTACCTCCCAGCTAGGATTGTTGAGAGAGAAAATGAGTTAACAGTTGCAATACATTTAGAACAGCATCTGTCCTGGGCCCTTGCTCTGTACCCGTTTTCTCTTCACACTGTCACTGTGCCACGTGCTTGGGGCAGGAACAGCAGTTCGTAGAGTGACAGACTAGTGAAACTGATGCTCACTTTAGGCAGTAAGTGCCTTGAAGAGAGGGTTGGGATGGGGTGAAGCAGCCCATAGGTCTCCTGAGTGGGTGGGAGTTGGCTTTTATTCCTTTCAGCAAGGGATTTGAGCAAGGTGGTGAGATAATCTGATACCTGTTTTGAAAGGAACACTGACTCCATCTGGAAAAATACTTAATAAATGTGTTAGGATTTGTAAAGTACTTATAACAACTCTAGGCACATGCCCTGATAGTACTTAGAACAACTCCAGGCACATACCCACTTTCTTAAATAAAAGTGGGAGCAGGGAAATGAGTGACAAGGCTGCCTAGTCCAGCAAGAAGGAGAGGTCTGATCTGTGTTGGTCACATTTGGAGAGGGTGAGAAGGGGGTGGACTAATCATATATAATAAAAGCCTAATATACAAATTATCCCCTGGGGCTGGCCAACTGGCCAGCCCCTGCTGGCAGCAGCAGCTGCTAGGGACCCTGCTCATGCATGAATTTTGTGCACTGGGCCTCTAGTTAGGAAATAAATGTAGAGCTGACTAGACCTGCAGACAGGTTGGGTTAGGTGTGTTGGGGGGACTCTGCTCTGGAGACTCATGCTCAAACCTTGCCCTGGAGAAAATCCACCTGTCTTGAGGGAAGGACACAGGCCTGGGTGGGCACTCTCTTAGTCTCTCTCCCTGCTCACATCTCTGACTTGGGCAAGCCTGTGGACACAAAATCAGGTGGTAAGATGCTCAGGCAGGGGGGGAGGGTGGCAGAATTATAGATGGGAGGGTTTAAGGTTGAAGCAGCTCTGCATTCCCCAGAACACCTCAGCCTAGGATGTTCCTCTAGCCATCTGCAGCACCTCCTCCAGCCCACAGAGCAGCCATGCCTGCCACCTCCCCGTGTCCGCCCCTTTATCTCCCCCGTAGATGAGACTGCAGATACCTGTGCTGGGCAGGTCAGGAGGAACAGACCAACAGAGCTAGCCTGTGTCTTCAGACACCTGCTTGAAGGGTGGCTGCCTGGTCGTGACTCTCCCCCCAGTCAGGGCTAATTACCAGAGCCAACAGGCTGGCTGGGCTGCCCAGGGAGTCACTCCAGTTGAGGGAGCCAGCCAAGCTGAGCCTGGGAGAGGTTTTGCCAGTAGAGGCATCAGGTCTCTTCCTTGAGGACAGGGAGGTGGTTCATGGGGCATGGCTGGCAATGATAGGGGGATGGGTAAACAGGTCTGACTGCTGATTCATCAGGCAGGGTGGGGCTGGATTGAGGTACTCCCCAGTAGGGCCATGCTGAAAGCAGTAGTAGCTTACCTTTAGTGAGGCCCAGTCCTAGGGGTGAAAGGAGGCCTCCCAGACCTGAGTGCAGAAGGATCCTGCTGTTCTTACCCCCTTCTCACTTGTGACAGCTGTGGGGGTTGGCCCCCAGTTAGCTGCCCTCCACTGAGGAGTAGAACCAGACTAAACTACCAAGGGCCATAGAGTGTAAGGAAGGGAGCACAGGGGGTTGGGTGAGGTTTCTGGACACAGGGCCTATTGAGTTTTCATATCCCTCTCAGGGCAGTCACTGGGCACTTAGCTGGTGTACCATCCACCTAACTTGGAACTTTCAGGACAGTGTTGAGGTATAGGGGTCATGGACCCCATTGTGTAGAGTGGCAGTGGTGGGGCTGGGCTGAAACTTGGGGTTTTTCATTGGTAATTCCATAGTATTTATAGAACACTCATGCTAGGCACAGCAGGGACAGGAGACTTGCCTTCTAGTAGCTTGAGTTCTGGTAGGAGGAGAAAGCCAAGAGACAGATATCAGATGTCAGCAGAGAAGAGAAAGCAAGGCGAGGGGGAAGAGTGATGGAAAACACAGTTCTAATCGTATTTTCTAGATAGGATGGTCTAGGAAGGCCTCTCAGAAGAACATGTGGATGGTTGGGATAGAATATTCCAGATAGAGGGAACAGCAGGAGTCCAGGAGGGAGTATGCCAGTACTAGTGAAGGGGTACAGGCAGGGAAGCTGACAAGGTTGTAATGGAGGGAGAAGGGAAGGCTGCTAGGAAATGAAGGCAGAGTCTGTGAGCCTTTAGCCAGCGCTTTGCAGTTTTTAAATGGTAAAAAGTAATGAAAGGATTTGAATGATAGGCTGTAGTACTTTGCATTTTATTAAGTGCTTTTTATGATGTCGTTAATCCTCAACCTGAGGAAATTTTTCCATTGATTTTTAGAGAGCTGGAAGGGAGGGGAGAGTCAGAGAGAAACATAGATATGAGAGAGACAACTAAGGCCTTGATCAGAATTGAATTTGGGACCTTCAGTCCTTGGGCCGAGGCTCTAGCCACTGAGCCCCCAACTATGGTTTCTGTGGAGGAGATACAGAAGCAGACAGACGAGTCTAATAAACCCCATTTTTTATCACTCAGCTTCAGTTGTCAACTTGTGGCCGATCTTATTTCATCAGCCATATTGCTTGGGAGTTAGTTCCAGATGTTCTGTTATTTCATCTGTAGGTTTTTCACAGTGTATCTCTAAAAGGTCAGGATTTTTTTTTTTTTTAATCTTTTTTTGTTCAGATGGCCCTCCCCCTTCATAACTCTCCTCCACCCGATTTCCACCCCACCCCAACCCAGACCCTCGCCACCCCATTGTCTGCATCAGTAGGTATAAGATCTTTGCCCAATCTTTTCCCACACTCCCCCACACCCTTTTACCCCTGAAAATTGTCACTTTGCTCCATTTCCATGCCCCTGATTCTATTACATTCACCAGTTTATTCTGTTCATCAGATTTTTTATTCATTTGATTTTTTGATTCACTTGTTGATAGATATGTATTTGTTGTCACTTTGTTCATAATTTTTTATCTTTACCTTTTTCTTCTTTCTCTTCTTACAGAATACCCTTCAGCATTTCATATAATATTGGTTTGTTGGTGATGAACTCCTTTAGCTTTTTCTTGTCTGTGAAGCTCTTTATCTGCCCTTCAATTCTAAATGAGAACTTTGCTGGGTAGAATAATTTTGGTTGTAGGTTCTTGCTATTCATCACTTTGAATATTTCTTGTCATTCCTGTCTGGCCTGCATAGTTTCTGTTGAGAAATCAGCTGACAGTTGTATGGGTACTCCCTTGTAGGTAACTGTTTTTCTCTTGCTGCTTTTAAGATTCTCTCTTTGTCTTTTGCTCTTGGTATTTTAATTATGATGTGTCTTGGTGTGGGCCTTTTTGGATTCCTTTTGTTTGGGGTTCTCTGCGCTTCCTGGACTTGTAAGTCTATTTCTTTCATCAGGTGGGGGAGGTTTTCTGTCATTATTTTTTCAAATAGGTTTTCAATATCTTGCTCTTTCTCTTTTCTGGCACCCCCATAATTAGGGTGTTGGTACTTTTGAAGTTGTCCCAGAGGCTCCTTACACTATCTTCATATTTTTTTTCTTTTTTCTTTTTTCTCTTCCGGTTGGATGTTTTTTGCTTCCTTGTATTTTAGATCTTTCACTTGATTCTTGGGATCCTCTAGTCTACTGTTGAATCTCTTTATATCATTCTTTATTTCAGTCAGTTTATGCTTAATTTCTGACTGGTCCTTCCCCATTTTTTTTTTTTTTTGCATTCTCACTAAGATCCTCAAAGGTTTCACTAAGTTTCCTGAAGGTTTCTAGAAGATTCTTGAGTAACCTTATAACTGTGGTTTTGAACTCTATATTCAGTAGTTAGCTTTTCCCATTTCTTTTAATTGTGACATATTTCTTTGTCTCTGCATTTTGGCTTCTCCCTGTGTTTGTTTTTATGTATTGTGGTTAGCTGCTAAGTCTCCTTGAGTTGATAGAGTGGCCTTGTGTAATAGGTGTCCTATAGGGCCCAGTGGCTCAGCTCCCCAGTCACCTGAGGTGGACACTCTTGGTGTGCACAGCCTTGTTTGCTGTTGAGCCTTGATTGCTGTTAGTGTCATTGGGAGGAATGACCTACAGGCCAATTGGTTGTGAGGACCAGCTGTGTCTACAATGGAAGAGTTGCTGTGCAGGAGACCCCTTTTTGGGGCAGGACTTGCTTCATTGGGCTTTGGTGCTCACTGAGTCAGCCCCTTGAGTGTGTCACTTATGGATGTGAGGAGTTGTAATCTGGTATGGTCTCACACTGACCACTGGATCTCCAAGGAGGTGCAAAGTCAGCCACTGCCTGGGGTCACCCAGCAGGAGCTACAGAGAGATTTTGAGATACCTCTTCTTTGTATTGGGTTTTGAGGTGCCCAGCTGTGAAGCAAGGCAGGCTGCTGCTGGTTTGGCCTTGGGCCTTCTTTTGATAGCTTTGGGGCTCCCTGACCCAGTTGCAGCTTATTTGGCAGGTTTTAGGCTGAGAAAGGACAGGCCATTCGTATGCAAAAGCTGCTGCCCTCCCCCTC